GGTCACTGATTCTTTAAAGGTTTTAGGTTTCACATCTCACAAGGAATGTTGCAAAAGCAGTGCACTGCACTTTATAATGTGGAGATAAATAGAACAGCAACATTAACATAATTTAATTTATGTATTGCAATTTTAGAATTAAAATTTACTATATGTTTCTCTACTAATTTTAATTTGTTTTTAATACAATTTGTATATAAAATATACTAAACATTCCAGGACCTAATTTCCTGTAATGCAACAACCACTAGGAACTTTTCAACTTTCTCATGGATTCAACCATGGAAAAACAGAAATATAGAATGTGACTGCAGATAAGAACCATTCGGCACATCTAGTCTGCTCAATTTTCTAAATACTTTCATTAGTCCCTGGCATTATCTTAAGTCTAGGATAGCCTTATGCCTATCCCATGCATGCTTAAACGCTCTCACTGTGTTAACCTTTACCACTTCAGCTGGAAGGCTATTCCATGCATCCACTACCCTCTCAGTAAAGGAATACTTCCTGGTATTATTTTTAAACCTTTGCCCCTATAATTTAAGACTGTCCTGTTGTTGTGATAGTTTTCTTCTTTTAACTGTGGTCTCCTCCTTTACTGTGTTGATTCTCTTTATGTATTTAAAGGTTTCTATCATATCCCCCCTGTCCAGTCTTTCCTCCAAGCTACACGTTAAGTTCCTTTGACCTTTCCTTGTAAGTTTTATCCTGCAATCCATGAACCAGTTTAGTAGTCCTTCTTTGAACTCTCTATAAAGTATCAATACTTCTGTACAATGGCATTAGCACTTCCCTCTTTCTACTGCGAATACCTTTCCCTATACAACCAAGCATTCAGCTAGCATTTCCTGCTGCTCTATTACATGGTCTTTGACATCAGAAATAATCACCCCTAAATCCCTTTCCTCAGATGTTGAGGTTAGGACTCTATCAAATATTCTGTACTCTGCCCTTGGGTTTTTACATCCAAGATGCATTATCTTGCACTTATTCACATTAAATGTCAGCTGCCACAGCTCTGACCATTTTTCTAGTTTACTTAAATCATTTGCCATTAGGCTTATCCCTCCTGGAACATCAACCCTGTTACATATCTTAGTATCATCCATCCACAAAGTCATTGTAAACAGGAAACTGTGACAGAGTCAATATAATCTAGTACAAGGGGGTAGAAACAAAAAACACACACACCACATGTACCTCCCTCATTTACCCTGTTCCTCTGTTTGTGATGCTTATTCAACACATTTGTTATGAATAAAAACCACTTCTTAATGCAATAGAAAATAAAAATAACTGGTTTAGGAAGTTCTGAACATTCAAACCACATCTAATTGCCCTGCCAGGATTTTTCAGGCTGCCAGAAGGCTTTATGCAAGGATACCTGGCCAGTAAATAAACTCAAACTGTATATGCCTTTATTGAAGGTGAATGGTCTTCTAACACTATAAAAACCAGACACCATCCTGAAGCTAGTAATCAAAAGAAGTTTGCTGCCCTTCAGCTCAGCTCGGAGTCCTCACTACTTTTTGAGCACCAAAAACCGTCTGGGTCACTCTACGGGGAGGGCGAACCTTAACACTAGGACAGTGGTTTTTTTTATTAGAGTTTTGATACTCCGGATACAACTTTGCCATGGTATGAAAGTGAAAGGGCTGTAATGTTGGCTATTGAGCAGTCAATTTGGAGTAGTGACTAAGACCATATTGTAACGAACCCTGATATGGTAGCTAGTGGTTCGTCTGTTTTTACCCAGACTGCTAATAGCATGAGTGATTATAGCTCGCAGTTTGGGTCTCCATCCGTCTCTTTCTCAGCAGAATCTCCCAAAGTAGTGAACAGGTACCCAAACTCACCTTACGTTGTTACTGATACACATCAATAACGCAGTGAGGAAAACACATATGGGAACCCACGCGAACCGCAGGCTCTGCCACAAGGATTGATGACAGTACCCATAACCAAGCATGATAGTGAAATAGAGACAGGGGCATTTTCCATGCAAACTATTAACCAACACACATTAACTATTCACCACACTCATAGGATAGACAAGCGGGTGAATCCCCGCTAAGTATATTACCAGTAATGAACATGGTCCAATGTTCACCACCACACCCGCTCAGTAACGCAAACCTTACAATGCTAACTTGGACCTACGAGCCCAAATTAAACAAGCTGCCTTACCAGTAAACATTTAGATTTCCCCTCAGTCTGTACACACAGCATATTGTTGAACCATTTAAATATTTTGATTGCAGAGACCTTCGAGTCTCAATGTTACACTCAGATACCCTACGCAATTAACAAAACTATGCTTTGAGAAACAAACACACAACAATGCAAAAACAAAACAATATTTTAAAAAATTTTTAAAAAAAGGAAACAGCAGCTTCAATGTTCGAAACTCCGAATAGGGTCAATGGTTTTGACTTGCAATATTTCAGGTTCACTGTATAATGTTTAAATATTGTAATGTCGCAATGTTGTAACCTTATTATATTGCTTAATAAAGAGATTTACAAAAAAAAACAGGTACACAAACATCAGTGGAAACCTGATGAATAGAGATGTCACGAACCGTTCGCGAACTTCCCGCGAACGGCTCGCCACGAACCGTTCGCGGGAAGTTCGCGACATCTCTACTGATGAAGGGTAGAACAGGAATGAATCTTTGTTGTGCCACACTGGCTTTTATACAATTCTCCTGGCAAGAGGAACACCCCCTGGACCTGATGGAAGACAGGGACATAACTTATTGCAGCCAATGACAGTACAGGGACAAACAGTGACACTTCCAGTACAAACAGTTAATTCCCTCCTCTCTTTAACTGGGTCAGATAAAATAACTTAATTATCTCTAGGCAGAGGGAAATTTCCCCAAAACTTATAAAACACCCCAAAAACATACAGGACCCCCATAAATGTCACATCCCCTGATAGCCCTGATCTGGGTGACCAACATATCCAAAAATCACCCAGGTCAGTTCAGGGGTCACACAGGGAGAGCGCCTAATTGATGATTTCCTTTTGTAATAATGAGCCAGAGGGGTGGTCGGTGGTTCGGTAGTTTAAAAACTACCGAACAAATAAACGAAAATGGGTAAATAACCAAAATATTGTCCGAACAAAGTTTAGGAAATGCTGGTATTCTCACACATATGGTATCAAAGAACATTATACAGTAGCCTAATCTATAGATCATAAACAGTAACATTGTGGAACCAGGAGAATCAGCGTTTGTAGCAAGTGCTCAGTGCTTGGTTTGTCTTGCGCTGCAGTTTGACGGCTGTGAGCAGTCCAAAGGAAAGAGTATGACAGTGTCTTTTTGTCAGTGTCGGCACATATAAGCTTTTCTTTGGCCCCATGCTGCGACACATTGCCTTCATCCCTGGATTCACCCTTGTCTGCCTCTGGTAAGTTCAACTGACGGAGGAACCTCATTTAATCATCAGTGGAGGTCAGGATAAGCATATGGTTTCCCCACGGTACAACCAGGGATCCATCCGTCCCCGACTCCTGCGTCGCGTAGTTGTTTGGCAATTGGTGCCAGCTGTCGCCATTTCGCAAGCGCTGCGAACGGGAGATCCCCATATAAGGCTACAGTGCTAACCTCCATTTGCACAGTCACCAGGTCTCTGGAGCAGGATATGATAGCAGAGTGGGTCACCACATTCTCCTTGACTGCTATAGTGTCTCTGGGTGTGTCTCCTGGAGATGTTGCAGCTTTTCAGATTCTGAACGCAGAAAGTATCATGGTTGTGTCAGTCCATCCTTTAAGGCCCATTGTGGACACTAGGAGGTGGATGTAGGGCAGGGGGCGTCCCCTCCCACACTTTCAGGTATTCCTCGGAGGCGGATATTCTGCCTTCTATGCCAAGCCGTCATGGTTGTGACAGTCCATGTGAGGAGAGATCCTGCATTGAGTCATGGGAGTGCTGTAGTTGGTGCTCCCTTGCACTGTCTCAGGTTTCCATTGCTGTGAGCTGCTGTTTGAGATTCCCAACTTCCTTCTGAGTGCTGAGCAGGTCAGCCTTCCACACTTCCCTCATTTCTGTTATGAGGTCTATTATGTCCCTCTTTGTTGCAGGGGATGATTCTTCCTCCAATTCTGAGTCAGGATACTGGGCTTCAGCATCTGCCGGAGGCGAGGTAAGACTCCCTCGGTCATCCTGGGAGTCTCCTCCTCACTGGGAGCTGCAGGCATCATCTTGGCGGTAGGGTAGGCCTCGCAAATGAGAGCCGAATATCGGTCATTTTTGTTGTCTCTGGAAGGCGACGTTTTTTAAATTTTTGCACCCTATTGAAGTCTGTCCGGGAGGCGTGTGTGTGACTGTTTATAGGAGCGATTTGTCGGGTTATTGGCCTACTTTATCATGCGCTGATATGGAGCTCCACATACATGCATCTTGCTAGCATGGCAGTTGGCCATGCCCATCCCCCCGCAACTGCCTTAGTATTTTGCCTGTGCAACCACAGGGGGAGGCCACAATCAGCCCACCTGATAGTTGCGCTAGGTTTTAACTGGCCTACTGGAGTCCGTGTTTGATGTGGGTCCCCTCTCCACCAACCACACCTCGTTGCACCGCTCTCTCGGCCACAGCTGGTTTGTGTTTTCCCCTGTTATTGGAAAGGATTGTGTACTCTTGCATGTTATTGTATTTTCTGTATATGCTGTACCCTTAATGTTACTCACTTGTCTGCACTGGTTTAGTATTGTGTTTTATCTGTGGACACAGTTCTCTGCACTCATCAACTTGAACTGCTTCAAGCGTGGCTGTGTACTTTTTTTTTTTAAATGAAAACATTCATTAAAGAAAAAAAAAAAATTAAACAAAAACCTAGTGAAAAATGTCCAAAACAAACCATGTTTTAGCAAATGTAAACTTATCTTAACTTAATCATGAATATTCTGTCAAAAACACTTAAGAGAATGTGTTTACTTTTCCAAAGATCTTGTGAATACATATTCATACACACAAAAAAACAAAACACCAAAATTTTAAGAAATTCTTTATTAAACTAAATATAAAAAGGACAGAAGTTGTCTACCACACTGAACATCTGAGTTCTTTCCTGCATAATGTGGAAGCAAAATCCATTTTTCTTATAAAGTGAAAAAATAAATAACTCTTGGTATTTGAGTATATACGCCAATGTGCAATAAAAAAGTAGAGCAGTTTTCTAATTAGTTTTGACACAATGTCTGTGCAAAGAAACAAAAATGCATAAAGAACACATTTACTGCTACATTAAGGCAATAAGAACATTATATTAATAACATTTTTCAATAAAGTGACAGTGTAAATTTTTTCCAGCTTTTGATTTAGCTGGCATTGCACCCATAAAAGGCCTGCTAGGTTTTCCTACAGACAGGAGTGTTTTTTTTATTTTTTTTTATTTTGCTCTGGCAAGAGTTTGGCTCCTTCACATCTTTGGATTGACCTATTCCCAAAGAGCTAATTAGGTCTGTGAGAATAGGTTTAAAAAAATAAAAAAAACCCAAACAAACACAAAACAAAAGAAATTCGATCGGATCATAAAAAAGCCAAAACCGCTATCTCCTAGCAGACCATAATGCCCAGGTGACGAAAATGGGATAGGAAGCACACAAAAATAAAAACACGAACAATACAAATCTACACAGTTTACAAACCCCATCCCTTTCTCCCAACCCCCCCAAAAAACAAACAAAAACTAGTGTAGGGATATCCGAATATGCAGATTCATATTCACAGAAGGAATATACTGAATACTACATTGGTTTTAAATTGGTGCCATACCAGGAAAATAATCCATGTGGTAGTCTCCTGGGTTAGACAGTCCCAGTCGGTTATTAAATCATTTGATTGACTACCTTACTCGTTTTTAATGAAGTATTAATCTGTTGATATAGTACAGTTTGAGACACAGTGGGATAATGATTGTTATAGCAAAACTGGCTTCTGAAGAAGTGAGGCCATTTAAAAAAAAAAAAAAAAAAAGTATGTGCCAGGGAACTAAAGCAGCACAGCACAAACTTTCCTCTTTGACCTATGCAATCTACTGCGCCTACCCAGATAATAGTGCACTGCATCAACTGGGTGTTGAAATCTAAAAGAAATAATTTAATGATAAAATTTGTTTTAAAAAAAATATAAATAAAAGATATATATATATATAATCTCAATCACTCTTAGAAAACAAATAGTATCTTGAAACTAGCATTGCAAACTCACTACTGTATTATTTTTCTAATACTGCATTATCTACTCTGGGTTTTTTTTTGTTTTATGTTTTTGTAATGACAGAAACAAGTGTTAAATAATAAGATGGCTATAAAGGTGACTTAAAATTCTAAAATTGAAGAAGAAAAACAAAACACAAAAGCACCGAACTCCCAAATGTTTTAACGTTCCGTATTACTTTTGGAAGTGGCATTATTTGTTTAGGCTGTGTTTTCACTATTATTCTCCATGTCTAAAAGTTCTAATTTTTTGGCTTCTATTGGTTTACTTTCCTTTCAAAAAAAAAAAAAAAAAAAAAATCATAAATCACAAACTTATTGTACAAAATTAAAATCCAATAATACAAGAGGGAAAATATAACAGAATCAAAACCAAGACCAGTATAGTTCTACTACATTGCAACACAATGCACTATACTCCACATTAATGTATGTGTGCAACGGTTATGTCACATTTAGATTTAAAAGAATACTAGAACAGGCCTGATGCTTGAAAGTACAACTGAATAATATTGCCTGCAAGCTTTTCTATTAAAAGGAAAACACACTGGACAAAGCAATGGAGAATACAGTCACATTACAATCAGTCTCCTTGTGGACACATGCTCCAGGTCTTTGCCAAAAATCTTTAGTTGTAGCAAAAATCAATGGTTGTAGCACTTGTTAATTGACGCATGGCCTTTCAGTGGCTCTTTAGCAGTTTAAGTTCAACATCTTGACCAAATGCGACAGGAGGTCTCCTCTAACGTCAGCTGATGAGCCACTGGCCACTTCTGGAGTGGTTTATGGTGCTGTACATAAATGGAGTTCTTTTGTCGGTTAAGTGTCACAGCAAGCTTGTCAGTTTGCTTAAATTACAGTAAGATTCAGAAGACTTGTGTGTGTTGGAAGGTATACATGCTGTACATGCTCCACTGAAGCTCTGCATACAGGACACGACTGTGGGTGAAAAGAAAAAAAACATTTTAATACCTTCTTTCTCCATTTACCAAACATGTATTGTCAATGCAAAGCAGCCTGAAGGGAAATTCTGCATGTATGTCTTAACATGAGTTTCCACTCACACACAAGCATTTCAGTTCTATTTTGTAAGGTATTCTATGCTCAGTAACTGCATGAACCATATATTTCAAGGAGCCAATTTCTACCTGGGGAAATAACCTATAAAACATTTACAGTACAATAAATTGCATTTAACTTCAAAAGCTGACAAACGTATCAGCCTTTACATGTTTAGGTATGCAGTTGTCTTGACAAAATTCCCCCCCCCACCCAAAAAAACCTTAATACATTCATGTACTACTAACAAATATAAATCAACCATGGTTTGTTAAATACGCAGTACTACTGTATTTTCTTTCTAAATGGAATTCAATCTTTGTCCAAGATCAAAAAGGATACAATTCCATTTGCCAACTCAGTTCGGGAACAAAAACAAAAACAAAAAAAAGAAAAAAAAAGGCTAATTTGCATATCAACGACGACCTCTGGTTGTTTTCAATGATATTGGACAAAAAAAATAAAATAAAAAATATATATATATATATATATATATATATATATATATATATATATATATATATATATATATATATATATATATATATATACACACATATAGATTTTGCTTCCCAAGCACTACCAAGCCTCAATAAGCAAACCAGTAACCAACCTCATGCTGAAGAGTTGCATTAACAACGAAACAGCTGTCCATGAGTGGTTCACTGGTTTTGCATCTTATCCTAAATTGTGTTCCAAGCAGTTGTATACTGCAAACACAAATTAAAAGGAATCCATGTTTAAAATGGAATGAGGCAAAAATGTGATTCTTTGTTAAACTAATTTGCATATGCCCACCCAGAATCCTTTGCGGTTGTAACATCACTGCTGATTTGGGATTTCTGTGGGAAAAGCAAGTCTTATGGCTTGACTGGTGTGCAGATTTTTGTTTAGCATTGTATTAAATATATATATATATATATATATATATATATATATATATATATATATATATATTTAATACATATATATATATATTTTTTTTATTTATTTTTTTTAAATGTGCCAAACTGTTTCCCACACGTGCAAACATTTCCTATGTTGATATCTTTACTAGCCAACACCTTAAAAGGAACATTCTGGGCACCAGAACGACTTAATTGAAGGGAAAAAAAATACAATAAATTAACAAAAAATAAAATAAAATATAGGAATGAGGAGCTGATAATTGGCTTAGAGCGTCAGATGACCCATCTAAGCCAGTCAGCAACTCCGCTGCTCAGCAACGTATCTGCTTCCTGGATCCGAATTTTATTAAACGGATATCATAGCGGAAAGGAAGGATCGTCCGCCATGAGAGATACAACTTCAGGGTTAAACGGTTTGTGAATGGTTTAATCCCCAAGATAAGAAGAGCCTGGAACATCTTTGCACCATAACAACCTAATTTCTATTAAGTGGTTATGGTGCCCCGAGCGTTCCTTTAAGTCAGAAGTGTCAAGCTGCTGAAACACATGTAATTGGACTATAACTTAATTCTCTGCCAGGCAATGGTCTTCAGAGGATTGTGGGAGTTCTAGCCCAAATGTTTAAGTCCATTACACAGTTTAACTCCTGCATATTAAAGAAGATGTTGTGGGTGTTTATTTGGCTTTTGTGTGGGGAATTCATAGTGAGTTTCAAGTACATTTTATGTATTATATACCAAAATAGACAGACTATTTTTTCCAATTCAACTGGAAAAAAAGAGCATAACCATGATGAACCTGTGGGTTCATGAGTCCACCTACCTGCAACTGGGAGGCACATCTTTCACAGCACACCATGTGCCCACAGGGGCAGAAGGCAGAATTGATTTCTTCTTCACAACAAAGCATGCAGAGCATGGCCTCTTTCAGCTTTCGCAGCTTTTCCTGCAGAGCCTTGGTTTGCTGGCAGCTGAGGTTCTCACAGCTGTTGCAGTTCAAAGTACTTTCAGAGTTTTTGAGAGGGGAACTTGGCTCACTGTGGTCACTTCTAGGAACCATATCAACAATGCCAGCATTGTACAGGGCCCTCCTTGCATGGTCATAAACTTCCTTGGATGTCCTTTTGATGTCAAACACATATTTCTTACCAACGTTGATGTTATCGTTTAGGAATAAAGACGCTAAATGGCCTTTCAAGTCTCTGCTGTATTGCATCATAACTGCATTGGTAACGGTGTCACACCTATAGTAAGAAAGACAAATTTTTGCTAGTGATGGTTCAGAAGAACTAGACTACGGTCGTTAATCTGTCAGTCAAGTTTAAATTAGAGGTAGTCATTAAAGTGTCACGGAACTGTAAAATCTAAAGCACGTTTTTTAAAGGAACACTATAGACAACAGACTGGATTAGGCATAGGCAACCTTCAGCACTCCAGATGTTTTGGATTACACCTCCCATGATGCTCTGCCAGCAATATGGGTTTAAGAGAATTATGGGGGATGTAGCCCACAACATTTGGGGTGCCAAAGGTTGCCTATGCCTGCAGGATCAGTAGTCATACTAACCTGTAAAATGCATGAGTTTCTGTAATTGCTCTATAAAGTCCGCTGGCAGCTCTGGTGCTGATTACTTTGAACAGAAGGACTAAACTATTGCCCGACTCCTTGGTGATCGTCAGATATACATTCTTTCCTGATTGGGTTGCCATCTGAATAACAGGATAGGTAATCCTAAAGGACAAAAAAGTAATTACATTTTGCAATGTATTTGTAGATTATTTCACGGGATGCCTACAGGACTCTAGAAAAGGTTAAAAGGGCATTTCATGCTTGAATATACTCTTTCCCTCCCATTTACCAATTAAAGATTGATTTTCAAGAACAGAACATGCCATTAAAGTTCAGACAGAATTCACCTGACCAGATGTGGAAGAAAAATTCAGGAATACCAGTTTTGGCATGGTCGGCATATCAAGAAATATGTTTTACTTAACGGGTTAGTCTACGTACTAAAAGAACAATAAAGGAGCATTCATTTTGCAATAATACAAGCACCCTGAACTCATTTTTGAAGCCATCAATTAGGAAGAGCATAAACCTTCTGACCAGCAAGTGTCAATTTTGTCCATCTGATGCATGTAATGTAAGCACGCAAAACGGGGAAGACTCTTTGTCCTGCTCAGAGTGGGGGTGGACAACAACTACACTAAACATTTATACATACAAGGGCGGTAAAGACCAAACAGATGGCAAGCTTTTTAATTATGAAAGCTGTGAGCTGAACTAAATTGTGTACATACATTTGCGTTTTTTGTGTTTGTGATCAACACGCTTACATTTTTTATTAGTCAATTCTTTTGTTTTTTGATAGCCATATTAGATCTGTCCTATCCAAACAATACAAAAGCCAAGTTGGTATGGCTATGTGATTATTTAAAAAGGGGAAATTACTGTAAAATTCTGTGCATTGAACTCTGCAACATTAGCGTACAGCAGTTACAAACTGAGAAACTGAATGGGATTAGCTTGTCGAGCTTGTGTAGATCTGAAATTTGTTCCCTTTTATTCTAAACAAACTAATTTTTATACACTTGAATTACATAGTATGTACCTATTAATAGGACTAAAATCCTCCTTGCAGATTGATACTCCTTCTGGTCCTATGCCAACTACAAGTTTCTGTCCTTCAGCATCTCGCACAGAATGCCACTCAACGCCATAGTTTTCCAGTGTAGACACAATTTGCAGGACTCTATATTCCCCCGAAGCTTGACACAATCCTTCCAAACTTTTATGTTTTTCAATAATACTGTAATTAAAGATTTCACACCGTTAGAAAAAACAAAAACAAAACAAACAAATATCTTCAGTTGCTAAATTTCAAATTAATGTGGAGAGCTTTTATAAAATTTGCTTGTAATTCAACAAAGAATACGTAAAAGCTTTGTACATTTATAAAACACGGTGAATGTCTAAAGCGGCACGGTCTCAATCTGGGGACTGTGCATAGTCTGTAAAGAGCCTGAATGGTGATATCGCCAAGAAAAGGTTAGAGATTTATTTAGCTGACCCTGTCCCTGGCTGGCACAGCTATTTTGTTCTGGCTGGTCCTTTTCTGCCTAGGAGCCAACATCACTGCTGTATTCTTGCGCAACAGCATTGAGATCTATGGAGGATTTTACATCCATAGTTACAACTAATATCGCTGCAGCCATCACTGCTGATAGCTGGGAGACTGACTTTTTTTAGACGGCGGTAGCTTCTCCCAGAGCCTATAGGTGTCAGGTAGTGGTCCCTACTTTGTCTCAGTGGAATTCCAACATAGTCAGTATGAGCCTTTTATAAATAAATATTTTATCTTTATGATGTACTTATTTTTCAGGGAGCGATGACAGTGTGGCTTTCAAAGGGACACTATAGTCACCAGAACAACAATAGCTCTGGTGAGTAATCATTCCCTTCAGGCTTTTTGCAGTAAACACGGTCCTTTCAGAGAAAATGCAATCTTTTCATTACAGCCTAAGGAAACCTCCACTAGCCACTCGTCAGATGGCTGCTTCCTGGGGCAGTGCGCCGCACTGCCATTCAGTGTCTCCATCATCTGCATTGAGACACTGAACATTCCTTGTAGAGATGCACTGATTCAATGCAGTTCTATGAGGAGATGCTGAATGACCAGGACTGTGTTTGGCTTGTACTGGCTCTGCCAGATCTGCCTCCTTGACAATCTCAGCCAATCCTATCCTATGTGAAAGCACAGTGATGGGCTCTGAATAACACTTCTGATTATGTCAGCCAAGCAGGCAGATCAGGAGCAGAGCAAGCTGCAGCATACTTGAAAAAATAAAAGTAATATTTTGCTATATTTAGGAGGGCAAGGGGGCTAGATGGTGTTTTTAACACTATAGGGTCAGGGATATGTGTGTTTCTGATCCTATTACTTTAAGCTTGCCATTTTGATTTGCACACGGCACTTATATGCTACATATGATGAAAGTCTACAAGACAAGAGGCAAAATATTACATTCAAAAAGAGTTCGAGGGAGCACTCCAAATATATCCTGTATTCAGGTGCCTGTATTTTGTAATTTTGTCCCACTTTTCTATTTGCAACACTTCTAGAGTAGGACATTTATAAAATGAATCACCATGTAATTTTGCTACAATGGTTTATTGTATTCCATGGTCAAAAAATAAAGATAAAAATTGAAAATGTATATACACACATACAATATTATAATAAATAGCAATATATCAATAATTAATTAGTTAATTGCTCTTCTAATACAAATGTAGGCATGGCTTGCAGCCAACAAGCAAAATAAAAATGGATACAAAATGACATCTGCTGGACAGAAGACAAGTTGGGAATACATAAACTGAATGCATTTTGCTTTAAAGGACACGACTGACTATAAAATCGCTACTATTTTTGTAATTTTTGTTCCAGTCTTTCAATTTATTTTTTGCCAAATCGGAGCAGTCAGAAATAAAAGGAAGACTTTTAGCCCAGCATGTTTACAGTCCATCACTGGCCTCAGTTTAATATTTTTGAAAAAGCTTTTCCAAAATGATTTCAAAGCTTGGGATAAACTTTAAAAAGATTAAAAATATTTTAGTATATTGCTATGAGGCTAGATAAATATGTATGTGAAGTTTCTAACAGCAGCGGAGGGGGTCAGGTTTTCATGCTTGAAAGCAGTTTGAAAAACTCCAGAAAAAAATAAAAAATGGAAAAATAAAAATCACATGCCAATAGATCTATATCTCTCTATTTCATGACACTATAAAAGGCTATCACAGGAATGAATTTCATAGTTTGAAAAAAAGTCAGAATTTAGATAAGGAACATTACTTATGCTTTGTGGAAAAGATGTTAAAGATGTTAATGAGGGAAATGTGTGTATTGTCCAACTCTTCCAAACCCTTAAAACTGGATTATGTTCAGTGATTAATTGCCTTGTTATTCCAGATTCCCTCAGTGTTTTAATACAATTAAGTAACTTCATGTTAAGTAATATGCAATGAAATGTTGAAAGAAATGAAAGCACGGGCGGAATGGGTTATCTGGGCATGGCTGTTCTGACACTTATCGAGCTTGATAGGGAGGAATTATTTCTACTCCACAGCTTCAAATTTAGAAGCCCTATAAAAAGAAATGTGACATTATTATTGGATTATGTAAAGATGACCTGAACAATCTGTCCACAGCTCACTGTTGTACCGGGTGCGATCTTACCACACCTGTATTTAGGGTGATTACATAACAACTCTACATGAACTTCCAAAATTAAACACCTCCATCATGGCAAGGAATCTAGAAATCGGATGCAAATTGTTTAACAACAAATAAAATAATGCATGTCCTAAAATGTGACTCCCCCCCCCCCTCCCCCCCTCCCCCCCTTTCATTTAAGTATTGTGAAACCATTGGGTCTGCTAATAAAACAACAGGGGGTTTATTCATTGTACAATCAGTTGTAGCAAACTGAAAACTGATGGAGGGTAGAAATCGAATGAGAAGAAAAATAAATAAATTACAAATAGTGATGTCCCGAACGGTTCGCCACGGACGGCAAACATATGCGCTGTTTGGTCCGCCCCCTATGTCATCATTGAGTAAACTTTGACCCTGTACCTCACAGTCAGCAGACACATTCCAGCCAATCAGCAGCAGACCCTCCCTCCCAGACCCTCCCACCTCCTGGACAGCTCACTAAGAATGCAGCTTCACAATTAATGTAAAATGGATGCTGTCCAGGAGGTGGGAGGGTCTGCTGCTGATTGGCTGGAATGTGTCTGCTGACTGTGAGGTACAGGGTCAAAGTTTACTCAATGACATAGGGGGCGGACCGAACAGCGCACATGTTCGCCATCCGCAGTGAACCGTTCGGGACATCACTAATTACAAAAACATTAACTGGCATATAATTCCAAAATGTGGCTGAATAGAGGTTTGCTGGTTCACCACAATAAAGATGTCAATTTATTACTATTGATTTTTTTTTTTTAGGTTTGACAATAGTGATGTCACGAACCGCTCACCGCGAGCTCTGGTCAGCTGACACATCCCGGCCAATCTCCAGCAGACCCTCCCTCCCAGACCCTCCCACCTCCTGGACAGCATCCATGTTGAAGGCAGCTTCAACATGGATGCTGACAGGAGGTGGGAGGGTCTGGGAGGGAGGGTCTGCTGGAGATTGGCCGGGATGTGTCAGCTGACCAGAGCTCGCCGCGGCGAGCCGTTCGCGACATCTCTATTTGACAAGCGTAAGAAAAATACCAAGACAATGTCGTCCCTAACTTTATCTCAGAAGATCTTTTGACTGGGTTGAAATTTCAGTAAAGTAAATGCTCATTTTGCAAGAGAACGGGACAGATGCTTTTAAGTAAAATGGTACACGAGTACAGTTATTTTAACCCCTTAAGGACCGAGGACGGTTCAGGACCGTCATCGGCATTTTTGCGTTGCCGACCGATGACGGTCCTGAACCGTCCTAACGGTCAGAGCTACTTACCTGATCGCCGTCGTTCCCCCGGCGGCGATCAGCATGGCTCCGGTTGTGGGGAGACTGCCTGCAGCCCAGACAGTCTCCCCACACTGATTTAGGACCCCTGTGGCCATGTGATCGCTTAACACAGCGATCACATGGTCACAATAGGTGTCCTAGTGTCTGCCTGCAGGGGGACTGTCTGTGCTGACAGGCAGTCTCCCTGCTAGTGTAAAATCAAAAATAAAAATAAAGTTAGTGTTAATAAAAAAAAAAAATAATTATATATGTGTATATATGATATATAGACATATATTATACCTATATAATATATGTCTATATATCATATATATATAATGCCATACTAAGTGTATTTTTATATTAATATGTACTTATATTAATATAAAAATACACTTATAATTAAATTACACACGTATATATATAATATATATAATAACTATATATATTGTATATATATATTATTATAAAATATAAATAATAAGTAATTTAAATTAAATAATTTTTTTTAAATAATAATAAAAAATTTAAAAAAAATTATATAGCTATATGAAATTTTATTCTAACTGTATTTTAAAATTAATATATATATATTTATATCAAAATACACTTAGAATGAATTTGTATATATCTATGTATATAAAAATAAATAAAAATAATAAGAAATATACATACGTCCATATACAAAATTACATAAATAATTATATAAATATACACGTAGACTTCAAATATATAAAAATATGCATATATATTTAAATTCTACGTGCGTATTTATGTAATATTTTTACATAATTCAGTAATTTTATTGATTGCAATTTGAGGGACCTGCCTGCCAACCCAGGCCGAAATTCCAGAGAATTTAATTTGCTAGCACTGTATTTTACCCTGTAACGTTCTACGACACCCTAAAACCTGTACATGGGGGGTACTGTTTTACTCGGGAGACTTCGCTGAACACAAATATTAGTGATTCAAAACAGTAAAACATATCACAGCGATGATATTGTCAGTGAAAGTTACTTTTTTTGCATTTTTCACACACAAACAGCAGTTTTACTGATGATATAATTGTTGTGATACGTTTTCCAGTTTTTAAACACTAATATTTGTGTTCAGCGATGTCTCCCGAGTAAAACAGTACCCCCCATGTACAGGTTTTATAGCATTTTTGAAAGTTACAAGGTCAAATATATGGGTCAAATATTTTTACATTGAAAATGGCCAGGTTGGTTACGTTGCCTTTGAGAGCGTATGGTAGCCCAGGAATGAGAATTACCCCCATGACGGCATACCATTTGCAAAAGAAGACAACCCAAGGTATTGCAAATGGGGTATGTCCAGTCTTTTTTAGTAACCACTTGGTCACAAACACTGGCCAAAATTAGCGTTCAATTTAGTTTTTTTACTTTTTTCACACACAAACAAATATGAATGCTTACTTTGGCCAGTGTTTTCGACTAAGTGGCTACTAAAAAAGACTGGACATACCCCATATTGAATACCCTGGGTTGTCTACTTTAAAAAAAATATGTACATGTGGGTGTTATTCAGAGATTTATGACAGATAATAGTGTTACAATGTCACTATTGATAAATTTTAAAAATGTATGTTTTGAAACCGCAATATCCTACTTGTACCTATAGCCCTATAACATGCAAAAAAAAGCAAAAAAGCACGTAAACACTAGGTATTTTTAAACTCAGGACAAAATTTGGAATCTATTTAGCAGTTTTTTTCATTCGCTTTTGTAGATGAGTAAAAGATTTTTCAAGTAAAAGTAAAAAAACATGTATTTTTTTAAATTTTTCATCAGATTTTTGTATTTTTTTTAAATTAAAATACATGAGATTATATAAATAATGGTATGTAAAGAAAGCCCCTTTGTCCTGAAAAAAACAATATATAATTTGTATGGGAACAGTAAATGAGAGAGCGGAAAATTGCAGCCAAACACAAACACCACAAAAGTGTAAAAATATGCCTGGTCGCAAATGTACAACATCGCAAAAACAGTCCAGTCCTTAAGGGGTTAATAAATACTGTGCGTGTGTATACACACACACACACACACACACACTAAACATTTTTTTACAACTGCAAAATGTGCTTTCCATTCACAAAACCACTAGATTTCTCATCCAGCAGTTCAAAATAGGAATTGTGAGGTGTGTTTTTTTTTTTTTTTCCTCCAGATTTTCTTACAAATAATAGATGTATCAATTTCAATTCACAAATGTGCATGTGAAAAGGAGGACATGGCATTTACAAATTAAACCCCTACCTTTCTAATGTAGCTGCTCCAAATTCCTTTGTGCAAAGGCACTGGTAGTTGTAGCTGGCGGTGTTGGGATTATAATCTCCACATTCCAACTGGGCCAACAGGGCACTCAGTTCCACTGTCTGCTCTGGGGAGCACTGCATTTGGCCAGCCAGGAGATCCTCTTTTATGTGCAAGAAAAACATGTGTCTGCAAAGGAAACAAAAAAGCCATACAATGATAAATACAATTTACAATCACAATTTAAACACTTTTTTTCATGGCACTATAGTTTCCCTTTGATGACAAACGGTTTTAAAACACAGAAGCAGAATTTTCTTTTTTTTTTGTAAAGATGAATCAAGAGACCCCATGTTTTATTCTGATGTCTTACGTGGAGCCATTTTGTTCTAGCCAGCATAAAAATGCAATGTGTGAAATAAAGATTTAGATTTTTACATATTCCTCAGTTGGATCTTTTGGAAAGGAACACAAACTGCAAGTTTTTAGACAGCCGGGTTAAGGTGACAGATGTCTATAGTGTCCCTTTAAAGAGAATTTATTTTTTTGCAGTTATTTATTTATTTTTTTTGCAGTTGAGGTTTATGGGACACCTGAGGGTAGGATTCTTCCTTTTTATTTGTGCAATGCATTACGTTCTAGATGCAGTTGTATCAATACACATGTTAGATCCACCAATTAACATGTAAACTCCCCTCTATAAAACTCTATGTAAGCTAAATCAGTTAACTAGATTTCTACTGTACATCAGAAACTATATTGCCTTTAAACGACTCAATGAACCTAGAAAACAACCTAACGTATATACTCGAGTATAAGCCAACCCGAATATAAGCAGAGGCACCTAATTTTACCACAAAAAAAAAAAATGGGAAAACTTATTGACTCGAGTATAAGCCTAGGGTGGGAAATGCAGCAGCTACTGGTAAATTTCTAAATAAAATTACATTCATTGTTTATTTAGTGTGCGTGCGCATATATAATGAATGCAGTGTATGTGTGTAGTGTGTGTAGGGTGTTATACAGTTGCAAGAAAAAGTATGTGAACCCTTTGGAATGATATGGATTTCTGCACAAATTGGTCATAAAATGTGATCTGATCATCTAAGTCACAACGATAGACAATCACAGTCTGCTTAAACTAATAACACACAAAGAATGAAATGTTGCCATGTTTTTATTGAACACACCATGTAAACAGTCACAGTGCAGGTGGAAAAAGTATGTGAACCCTTGGATTTAATAACTGGTTGAACCTCCTTTGGCAGAGCAAGCTGTTACTTACCTTTGTAGCAGCTCCGGTCAGCTCTGTTCAGCTCACAGTGTAAGTCTCGTGGTCTGCGTGTCGCGCGGAGCGTTGCCACGGGTCTCGCCAGACTTACACTGTGAGAGCTGAGCAGAGCTGCTACAAAAAGTAATTAACAGCTTGCTCGGGCCCCCAACAGGACCGCCGGGTATAAGCAGAGTGAGGCTTTCTCAGCACAAAAAATGTGCTGAAAAACTCTGCTTATACGGTAGGTTTTCTTACCATGAATAGGAAAAGTACAATAGAAAAAAAAAGGAATACTTTGTAAACCAATGCAGCCTATGCATCATTATGGATTATTGTTAGAATTGTTGAGAAACATTCATCCTCTAAAATAAAAAGAATCAAACATGCAAATGCACAAAAATTTGTTTGAAAAAACACAAAAATGACAGTTTCCAAACAAATGTGCACTCTTCATTTAAATACTGATGGCTGGTACTACCTCTATGACAGATATTATCAATCTTTATGATCTCAGCTAAGCCAATGCTTTCCTTTAGAAAAGTACTAGGAGGATTTTGTGCATGTGCATCAAATGTACCAATCCGCATCTCCTCATAGAGAGATGTATTAAATTAGTGAGATTGCAGGGGAATGATCTATACATTAAAACTGTTTTATTATTAAGCTAACGTTGTTTTGATTTCTATAGTGAACCTAAAATTGTCAAGTTCCAAACTAAAAATAAATTATTATATATATATATATATATATATATATTTTTCTTTCTTTCCTTTTTTTTAAAAAATATCAGAATCATTACAAAAATCAGTCATGTATGGTATATAAAATTATCTTTTGGGATTGGCTTGGCTTTTTAAGATTAAAAAAAAAAAATTATATATTTTTTCTAAGTGAATATACAGAAACGATCAGTTCTTAAAATCCAAGTAAAAACAATGACCCTATACACTGCCTGCCAAAGATTCAATCAATCATGTCCTACTCATTTGCAATCCCACCACAAAGGTATTAATGCAATTCATTTCCTGATAATACACAGTATTTTTAAACATGCCAAACCTCACTGCAGATCATTTGGCAAAGTACAATGGTCTGAATACAGAGTATCTTTCTTATACATCATTGTTGTTTGCATTGAGGAATTTGAAGAAATAAAAAATTCAAAGCCCATGTGTCAATGTTTTAAACCTATATGGTTAGAGGTTTGTAATAAGATTGGTTTGCATTACATGAATAGCCCCTAAGTTTAAAGATGTTAATTAGCTGTTGAATAATTCAGACTTTTCTTAAAGTTTGTCAGCGAACACAGAAACTGAATCTGCACCAATGGGTATCAGCTTTTTACAAAGACAACTGTATTCAACAAAACAAAATAAAAACTTTATTCCATCATAAAGAAGGATATTCAACAATGGTCTGAAAAGCTGGAGTCAAAGATTCACAGAAAGGTCTTGTGTTTCGGGCGTACATGGTTTATTCTAATTTATTTATGAGCATACATAGCATATTTATGTTGGGTGCTTGAAGGAGCAGCAGAATGCCCCCATTTTCTCAGCTATTCATCAAGATACCAAAAAGAAATACAATAAACCCACAAATAAAAAATAAATATACTATATATAGAAAATGAAGGGAGCACACTAGGACTTCTTTTCAATGGAAAAAAAGTAGTTTACTGTATCATCAAATAATACATATTCTGTGCAAACCCGACGTTTCGACCCTCCTGGGGTCTTTATCAAGATCGATCTTGATAAAGACCCCAGGAGGGTCAAAACTTCGATTTTTTTTTGCACTTTGCACAGAATATGTATTATTTGATGATACAGTAAACTACTTTTTTTCCATTGAAAAGAAGTCCTAGTGTGCTCCCTTCATTTTCTATTATATATTCAACGCGGGATTGCACCTAGGCAGTCTTGATTTTGTTTAATAAGTTACAGGAGGAGTGCCTTGCTTATCTATATTATATATAGACACACACACACACACACTGTTACAAACCGTTCAGTGCACAACAGATAACTTCTGTCTTCATTTGTAGGCTTGTTCAGAATACACATACATAAAATAGTTCTAATGCATGAAGATCTACACAATGCTAAAAGCATTTGTAGTTAAATCAGGATTGAAACAAGCACTATATAGAAAGCAGATGTCCAGTTACAAGGGAATCACAAAATACCCCATCCGGATTTATAACCCTTTGCCATACACTAGGTTACTTTCATTTTTAATGTGAAAATAAAGAGGAAAACAAAAATGCAGATCTAGTCTGCACAGACAGACATTCTTGGTTCCACATTCTGTGGTTTATTTTCGCCCTAAAGGAAGATGTCTCATCAGAAGAACCTTTAAATCAGAGGACAATTTTGAGAAAAATAGATGGATAGATTACACACACACACACACACACACTATGTAGTTAAGGAGTAAAAAAAAAAAAAAAAAAAAAAAAAAAAAAAAAAAAAAAAAAAAAAAAAAGAACCATGGAATCACAAGTGTTTAAAACTAAACAAAAAAAATATATAAGAATAGTTGTACACTGCAGAGAATGAATTGCTGGATGCAAAATAGATTTGTCTAATCTTGAAATTCTCCTTTTTAAAAGTTCCATAAAATAGTCTAAATGGCACAGACTTTAGATCAATAGGTTATTGGTCCTGAAAAGATTATGGGTTAACAAGTGATTTGGCTGAGCGCACGGTCCTGAAAAAGTGATCATAAAACTTACAAATTGATGCTATTTTCTTTGTAAAATTGCTCATCTTTAGACTTTACTCATTCTGAAAAAATCCATTGAAAGCTCATCGGATTACAATTTAAAGGCCATCTGTAACTAGCAATGTGTCTAAAGATATACAGTTGTGTAGGTGTCTCCCATGTCTCAGACTCTGTGGGAAAGCAACAACAGAATCCAAAATGACAACATTCTTTAAAAAAAAAATAAAAAATAAAAAATTTATTTTTATATTATAATTATATATATATAATTTTAAGTCAAAAGGAGTAGAAAAGTCACAAGACTGTTAAAATACATTAATGGAATATAAAAAAAAAAAAGTGTTACTGACTAGACTGTTTTTTCACAATTTGGAGTAGAAAAATGGAGGCAAAAATAGCCATGTTTGGGCTAAGGCTGAGTTAGAGAATTGTTTTAGAAGAGCCATTTTTGCCTCAATTTTTCTATTGGTATTTAATTTGGAGTTTAGCTAATAACCCAGAAAGAATTTACCCCTAAGTGTTTGCAGTGCTAAGATACGATAACATCTACATGTGCTGCCTTGATTATGGTGCTGTAAATCATCTGGCAATGTCAACAATAAGTTAACCATTAACCAAGTGTTTGACACTTACCTGTCAGGTGCCCATGGCCCTTCAAACAATCTGCATTATCATACCAACTCATACCAAGCTGAGACACGATTCATTGGCTGAGAGTGAGAGCTTACTTTGCTTTCCCCCCATGACCGTGTCCTGTTTAAAACAGCCTAGTGCCCTCCCATGTGTTTGATTGCCTGTTGTTCCATCTTCCACTAATGCATACATACAATTGCATGCCAAAATCTCATTCCTGTAGATTGGTTACCAGATTTTGGCCCTCATAGTTCTACTTGCTACTACTCTGGCATTGTACACAACCAACTCGGTCTTAACAACATGCCTTCCTACATACACACACACACGCACATATATACACAGGAAAAGGGGTGAGAGTGTCATAATGTAGTGTGCCAATGATGTCACGCGCATCACTGGTGACTTAAATCGGTAAGCATTTTTTTCTCTCTGGAATTAAATTCTCGTAGCTCCCCTTTAGCCATATGACCTTCCTTCCAAGTAGTCCCCTTATTTTCATATCTTAAGGTTTCTACAAGACAGCAAGCTCACAGGAACAAGGCAGCTTTTAAACATTAATTGCTAGTACCCATATATGTATCTTTTTAAAAATATCCCATAATCAACTTATAACCTGCCAATTTGCATAGCAATGCTGAACACTTAGCACATTATGTTAAAATTGTGCCAGGATTCTAAAAAGGAGTGAAGCTGTGAAAGGAAGGGCTTAAAAAGAAAAAAAAAAAAAAAAGGAAAATGTAAAACCATCTTATTCTCAGCATGCCTTAATATCAAAATCACTGCAATATATATACACACATACATACACACACACATATATACACACACACACACGATTGTAGAGTTGTAGTCTTTCAGATTGATCAAAAGAGGTACAAGTCATTGCATTTGCTGCTCAATGTAACATTTCTGTGGATTTAAAAAGGCAAGACGACAAAGCAGTGCCATACAGCATTCATACCCTGCTGGGTCAGACTCCAAGTCAATAATTATAAGCAGGAGAATCCAGAGTATTCCTCAAGGGAGGGTTAGTGGCAATTGCTCTCAAGCAACTAGCATGTATGGGTTGTGGGCTGAATATTTGCACCATGTTGCTGCAGATTAGAATAGCAGGCAGTGTTTTGGGATGCATTATGCCACATTACTGCAGGCATTAGGCAACAGACAGGAGCTATGCATTGGTTGGTAGCACACAATCTTAGTGTTCTCCAGGACTGAACTGGACCACTGTGTATTTCCCGGGAGACTGCAGTATCTAAAATGGACCAGGCTGCCACTATATGACAAGTATGCGTGATGTCTATGGAGGCGTCTTCAAGTGACCACATTGCTCATTGGAGTCATAGGAAACAGAGTTTGTGGCTTTTCGTATTAACAGATTTCTGTGAATGCTCCATAATGCTGTACAGCCAATACTGGAGGACATTGTGGAGGTATAGCAGGTTGCATTTTCCATAAAAAAAAAAAAAAATAATAATTCTACTTTAAGTTGCCATCTCTATCTTAGATTTTGAGGTTCCCAGAAAGGAATAAGGAAAAAACAAAACTGTATAGTGTTCAAAGGACACTCAGGACACCTAAGCACTTTTGCTTGCTAAAGTGCTTTGTGTGTGAAGAGTGTGCCCTCAAATATTAATAGAAAGTGGCACTTTTATAACTGAACCGTGATATGCAGGGGGTATTCGTTAACTGAATTGTGAAGAATTGAGAATTACAAGTTGAAGGTCACAATAGCAGAATTAGAAAATTATCAGAGTCAGAGAATATCCCTATCTCAGCAAGGAAAATGGTTGTGGATCATATTTTATATTTCTTCCCCGACTGTTTTCTTTTACTTCCTACACCCATAGCACCTGCCATGGATCACCCCGACAGCTTCTGCATTAGGAACAGAGTTGGACTCAGTTCTTGCCCTTTCTGTACGCACGCACACACACACACACACACACACTGAACGGTCAATTGATGCTTCTTGTAGAGAAGCATTGGATTCAGCTATTATTTTTTTTTTTAACGATAAGTATTTGATTGGCAGAATATGTCAAATGGTGTACAGGCATCAAACATTATGCTCATGTAGCTAATGAAGACTTTCACTGAACGAAAGAGGTCATTGTTATAATGCAAGAGTCAGAAGTTTAGGCGCTGGATTTAAGGTAAGTTTTAATATAAAATTGTTGGGGCCAATTAAACTAAATGAAGATACCCAACAGAATAAATGTTAAAATAAAATAAATTCTACTATATAGAATTTCCCTTTAACAAAAAACCCTAAAACAACACATTTTTGGCTAGCACAATGTAGCGACAAACAAGCATGCTCTTTAAAGTGACACCAAGTCATGTACACACGAGAGCACACTATACACATTGTAAAAACTTTTCATGTAAACAGGAAAATAAACCATATATAAAGTGTACACTTCATGATTAGTTAGCAGTTATAAACAGCAAATCTACAACTATGAATTGAATGTTTATCTGTTTTCTGCTTAAGCTAATTAAATATGGCAAACAATTAAGGGTACAGACGCAAAAACACAGGGCAATGAGCTTGTAAAAGGGACAGAATACATCTACAGAAGTCACAGAGGGAGGAGGCTGAACATCTATGCACCTGGTGCTCACCAATTACAGCTTGTATTATCTGAACTGTGGTAACCTTTCCCCTACTTTGGAGAGAGAAGGCCAAAACGCTGAACAACAGATTAATACACATGTCACCAGCAGCTGCAGAGCCAGACAATGGGTGCAGTCTGTCTACAGTACAATTACTGTACATTATGCCTTAAAAGGGACAGTGGACATACCAACAAATTTGTAAAAACTTAACATAAAAAAGGTTGTTTTTTAAAGAATGTTACTTTTGCAGGAAACACTTGATCTACTTCTTCTCCAATTGCTTTTGAGTATCCACTATGTTTATTGTACTAACATTTTGCTCAAGCAGCACACTGCTAAGAGGTGTGGCCATGAGAGAGTATAAAAAGGTGACTTAACACTGGTTTGGTTTAGTCGCACTGGTATATTATAATTTTATTGGATTTTATAAGTAATATCTTTAGCGCCATTTACCCATTTCTTGTTTTTGTAGCTTGCATTAAAAAAAAAAAATTAAAGGAAAAGGAAGAAGACCAAGCAGGAACACAGAGTCTGTGGTGATCTATATATGACAGCTCCTGAGAGCAACACAAGGCTACTGGGAGTCAATGACCTGTAGTTACACCATAACATCCCGTACTGGGGAAGTCTTGTGATTTCCTTCAGGGACTCGCAATTGTACCAAAGCTCAATAAATATTTAGGCTGTAACACAAGCACACGACGAAACCCATAAAAGGGTAAAACAAAAATGAAAGGGTAGTAAATTCTAAGTTTAAAAATAAATAAATAAATAAATAAAACCCCACAACACTATGTTTGTCGAAGTATCCATATCCAAATTTATGCTGCAGGCATCTCATTATTGCTCATGGAGCTTACGCATTAAAAGGAGCCTGGTCATATTCTACACTATTACAGACTACTTTTCCTTACGTACATCTCAGCACTTGACAAAGGGCTGAGCTTAGGTCAAGCTTCACACCCTTTAAGGTTTTTACCTACAAAAGGCTAGCTGTCTTTGGTTGTCCCTTGTGGTCAATTTTTGCGTTGTGTATTCTTTGTCTGTGTGCTACACGAACACTTATTGCAATTTTCAATAGAGTGGACACAAACACTTTAAAGCAAGTTAATTTGTGCTATGAAATTCTTTGAATCGGACGTCTAAGCCAATGCTGCATACACACCTGGCAAAGACTGCCGATATCATGTAATGTGAACACCCAATAAATTTTGAGTTAAATATGTTAATTGATTTTGTACAGAGTAAGCGGATCCAAAGGATACTCGTTAAGGTTTGCAATCTAGATTGGTTACCAGCAGGCCTATAATTACCACAGGGTACACGGCACAGATGCTCAGTGGGCCAACATTTGTGTTTGTGGCTTCATGCCATGGTCCCCTGCCAGCAAAGTGCTAGGCTGCAGAACATAGCCTCATTTATCCATGCCTTGATAGCAGTGAGGTACAGTGTGAGCATCATGGAATTCTGCAGGGTGGGCATCACATTACCCCCCTTCATGCTGTATTTCCAATAGAGGCAGAGGACAACAGCCAATCAGTCTTGTTGATCTGCTGCCACTACCTCCACATAGCACAAACTTCAGTCTCAACCCTTAAAGGGTTACTCAAAGCATCAGAATCACTACAACCCGCCACAGTGATCACGGTGCCAGGAATAACCTGGACAGGTTTCCTGGGTAATGGGGCAAAAAACACTTTGTAAAACTTGTCCTCTTACTGGGTCCTTTCTGAGCTCGGAGGCTCATTCAATATCTGGTGACATGCTTCCAGAAGGAAGATATGAGAACCAAATAAAGCCCCATGGTGCATGAACCATGACTCTGCCAGACAATTTAATCATCATTCATGACGATGCGCTCATCCAAACAGTGCAGAAGTGAAACTCCAGAAATTAAAGACAAAGAGACACAAACATGGAGCTGTGAACCATTTTTTTTTTCCCCCATTATAGACAGTGTGTGTAATTTTGAGTATACGTCTGAATAGGACTATGTATGTGGCCAAGTGTGTGTGCGTCTACATACATCTGAGACTCATTACAGTGTCTTTATGGGTATACCGGTGTGTTATAGTGAGGGCTAGGTGGATATAAAAATATTTAAAGTCTCTGAAACAATAGCTACAACTCTTTAAAGTAGTTTGGGTTCAAGATGGGTACAGTACTACACCAAATGGAACACGATGACTTGGAGAGAGAGATTATATATTTGCACTATTGTCCCTTGACAGCTCCCCCATTTATATGCACACACAAGCCCTGAGAAAGTTGGATTGTTCTTTCCCAATATAAAAGAAAAACCTGAAGTGAATATCTCAAGGGAAGTTATCACTATGAATAAATAAAAAGGTAGCATTAAACATTGTTAGGGTGTTCCAGTTCAGCACAGAGCAACGGTGTCTTTTTTTGGACTGTACATACATTATGCTAAAACAGTGTAATCTGGCACCCTATGCTGGAAAAAATATCTGAGCTGGTTTCAGAGGGAGGGAGTTTCCTGCTTTGCTGTACTTGTGGTTTAGAATGACCTATAATAACACAGTCAGGCATATGAGGTTACTATAGGACATACTGGTGAAGTTACAGTTACACTGTAGCTAGAAAAGAACAAGAAAATAATGTAACTTATTAGCCAACATGGAACTGCACAGCTAATTAAACGGCCACGTAGAAGTAAAGCACTTCAAATTGGTCTTAAAATTTTAACAAAAAAAAAAAAAAACATGTAACCTTTTAATTTATGCATTGAATGCAAAACCTTTATGGGGTGGAGGGGGTGTGAAAGAAGTTTGAGTGCTATCCTAGACTAGAAGGAAAAAGTTGAGACACGCATGTACATACATCCAACACAGTACACACACACTTAACAAGTGTATACAGAAGTAACAGAGGTAATATAAACGGACATACTAGAGAAAAATAATGTAGCTTTAGCAAGCTTAGCTATACAGTCAAATCACAAAAATGGCTCAATTTGTAGGCAAAGTATTTTACCCAGAATCTGATTAAAGCTTTAAAAATTAACAGAAACACAAGAGCGTGCCTACATCCTACAGATAGCTAATGTATACAGCACATAAAATTCCCAAATTTTTGATTACCAAAGGCAGCCTTTTTAGACAACCTTCTCAAAGCTAGCCCCTTCCAATAACATACATGACTACCACTCAGCTGATCGGCCAAATATGCTCAACAAAATGCAATACAACTTTAATTTAAAAAAACAAAACATTTTGTTAAACTGATGCGTCAGCCATCTTTAAACCAGGGTAACAAAATAATATATTTTGTCACACAACAATACAATCACATCACTTCAGAAATATGTTCTTCCTAATCCAAACCTTTACAAAATAAATAAGTAAATAAAATCACACACAAAACAAAACAAAACAAAAAAAAAAAATCTTAAAACACAATTGTGTTGTGCATAGGAATTTATGGACTGCAATAACTAAGCAACTCAAAAGACAAGCAAATCATTAGCACACTGGGAAATTCAGAAATGCATAGCTAAACCATCTAACTAGTACAGCTATAATATTGACAAAGATTTACAATTTAATGTTACCCCATTACCAAATACTAGTAATCAGCACTAAACACAACATCTATTACACAGCTAAAATGAAGCAAAAAGGGAATGGTGGACTGACAATGTTTATTCTCTAAAAATCAGAATAGACAAAAACTATATATATAGAAAATCAGTGGATTTCTAGTATTTGATTATTTTTGCCAAAATTTTGCACACACACACACACACACACAAAATAAAATAAAAATATAAGACGTATAGAAGAACATAGTAAATTCATAAACACGAGGAAGCTTTCACATAGGTCAGTTCCCACATTCATAAAAGAAGAGCAAAAAGCAAATTTCCAGGTAGATATAATCTGAGAGAGGATATAACTCAGTCTTCGCACAATACGGTCCTTACCTGGTCTGCTCCTGAAGGATAAGATGGGGTTCCACAAAGAACTTGACCCGCAGCTTCATTCTGTAAGGGGCCAGCCCATCCATTTGCTGCGATATTCGATTTCGAAGATTCAACCATAAATTTTCTCCCTTATTTCCACTGAACTGGAGCCCAAAGTAATCCACTTCTATAATCCCCAACCTTTTGCATACCTAAAATTAAAGGAAAAGGTGTATTTATGTTAAGATGGGCTTTATTACTCTCCATGCATCCCCACCCCAACACAGTCTGTGCCAACAAGCCCCTACTTCTGGTGGTCTAGTTTCTAGTTAGCTCCACTCACTTTAGTGGCTGGAACTAGCCCTTCCATCCCTTCACTACTCCCATAGAACCATGAAAGAAGAAACCATGAAGTTTTGAAAAAAAATAAAATAAAAAATAATAATAATAAAAAAAAGTTACAGTTCTGCATATTTGCTATACATACACCCCCATCTTGTTGTTCCACACTAAATTCTGCAGCGTTTTCCCCATGTTATACTATTTAATGAATAAGTTGCATAAGTGACATGATCAGTGGGGCATGAAAAAAAAAAAACAAAAAAAACTTTTACACGCACAAATATAAAAGTGAATTGAGAAACATACTGCACTTGAATACTGTTTGCTAAATCCTGCAAGGTTTTCCTCCTTAGGTAAATAAAAAAGGCACAAAATGACCAAACTAGAGCAAGGCCAATCACCTGAAATATGTACCTAACTATCAATATACAGATTAACCTACTGATAACATGTAACATAAGCTTCTATCACTCTACTTTCAAAAAAAATAAAATGTATTTAGCTTACTTGTTTTAAACTCCCCCCTCCCCAACAAAACATTAAGCATTTGCTGCACATCAAGTTCTTTGGGATACTTTCACTTTGCATTGTACAAGTACAAAACATACAAAGCGCCAACATATACAATTGTATAATATATTCATGGTGCCCTATGTCATTACAATGATTTTATACCATAACTTCAAATAAATAAACGTGAAGATAACGAAGCTGGTAGCTGTGTATCTCAGTCATGACAACCCTGGCACTCCAGCTTTTGTCAAAGACTTATGGGAAATTTAGTCAAATAGCTAAGTAGGCACAGGCTGGATGCTTCTGATAGAAATATTTTAAATACCACAGTTATAAATCAAGTGGATTAAATTCACACTATGTATTAAAGGCAAACTGACACTTTTCTGGTAATTGCACCATAGAATAAAAACATTTAAATATCACTAACAACAACACGTGTTAAACTTTTATTTTTATGTAATGGTTAATTTTTATATTACAGATTTAACGCCGGACTGATTTACTAAACCTTAACTTACAAAAAGAAAAATGCTCTTTTATATTGAAGAAAGTGACTTTGACATCCAAAACTATAAAAGTTGCATTACCTCTATGGATTTGATGGCTGTGAAATCTGTTTTCTTTAAACACTATCCTGACCTAAAAGACCGCCGATGGTCCCAGCAGGAAAGAATGTGTTCAAAGGAAAAAATGCTTACCCAAGTCCAAATTGATATTGGACAACACGATTACACTGAAGATTTGAAGTGAACCAACATTTTGAAGACTGAAGCAAGCTTTACATTTCTACAAAACACACATATTTGTAACAGAACTGGGGAATGCAACCTGATATTGTTTTTTTAAATTACTATAAAAGCCAGAAAAACCTTATTGGCAGAGCCTAAAAACAAACTAATTGCAATATAATTGACACTAAAGTTTTTAATTACAACAGCTATGGCAGGTATATAGTGTCATGTGCCAGAGAACTGAATTCCAGAAATAAATTATTTGGCATTGTACAATGAAAGAGCCATTGTTGCAAAACAACATACTTCACAGGCAGATAGAATAGTTAAACATAGAAGTTGGCATGCAAATATAAATTGTGTATTGGAGAACATTTCCAGATAGGTGCAATGAGAACAGTGAAAGATAGTTATAGGAAATCAATGACTGAAAACAAAAAAGGTGAAAGGTCAACATTTATGGCACATGATTTATGGGTAACAGACAGTTTGGTGGGAGGGAGACACATTATATATATTTATTTTTATTATTATTATTATTTTTTTTAATAAAGCACTAACTACTGCAGCACTGCACAATATAGATTTTTAAAATGTTATTCCACCGAGAAATGCAACATCTGCCCACTTAAACTAAATTCAATGTAAAAGACGAAATGCTTTAGAGAAATAAATTATATTCTCGAAGAGGGTATTTTAAAAATAAACACGTAAGAAAAGAAACATTAACATTGATAATTTTAATGGCACGACAAGAAAGCAAGTCAAGGCACAAAGTTCTTTCCATGTCTGTTCCAGAGATAGACAAGTGCATAAGGTAAGTGCCGACCTTCAGTAACCTTGTCAAAGAATGCTCTTCTCCAGCTTTCAGTGTCAAGAGGAGTCAACAATAAGTGAGAATACAAGTTGTCATGAATCTTAGGCTGCAAACGGTGACAGAGTAATAAAAGGCATGGCTAGCTTTTCATACAGTTATATGGCACATCAGATTGTGCAAACAATGCTACCCAGAGCTCAAGTGTTTGCTTTTGGAGACTGCCAGTCTGCACCAAATGTAAAATGGAACCTGGAATACAAAAGGGCTGGACATATAAGCTTTAAGAACATCTTTAAACCCCAAGCTGCAGATCTTATAAGGGAGGTTCACAACACAGCAATTATCTAGTAAAAATATACAAAATATATTGGGGTAAATTTGGCCATTTTGGGCAGGTTTATTTGCCAAGTGGTCTACATAGACTAAATTTAAAACACCGCTGAAGTATCTCTTAAATTCTCACCAATTTACTTGTTATACATTTTATAGCTCACAGACGTGTAAATTATTTATTTTTCCCCTGCAGTACCGAACACTAGACACATTATTTGATTGTACTGTTGTTCATTGTATTCCCACCTTATTTGATTGATATGTGCTGTCCTAATGTGTCTTTACCCAACCTCCTATAGACTGTAAGCTCGTTTGGTCCTCTTCAACCTATTGTTCCTGTAAGTTCTCTTGTAATTGTCCTATTTATAGTTACATCCCCCCTCTCATAATATTGTAGAGTGCTATGGAATCTGTTGGTGCTATGGAATATAAATGGCAATACATAATAATACTGTTAACAGAAAAATTCCAATGTTTTAAATACAACAAGAAACATGCAGAAAGTTATGACATTTGAAAAAAAAAAAAAGAGAAAGGCTCCAACTCAACTTTTGTTGTTGTTATAAAACCTGAATCAACATTCCAAAAAGTTTGTGTGTGGGTTTGAAATTAAGTTGATGTAGAATTGCCATAAGCAGGAAGCAATGTTATCATACTGTATGAGATACTAAAACCACATACGTAGTTTGTAAAAAAGAGGAAGCACAACTTTTGCCATGGGCACTACTGAAAATTCAGTAGCATTTAACTAGAGGGCAAAAGCATGTGCACCCAGTTCATAATAAAAAAAATAAAATAAAAATAGGTAAACCAGGGATTTGCTAGTGTAACCTGACCTGTAGCCCAATGCTACAGTCAGTGTGATATACCTTTAAAACCAGCACATTTCAAATCATAGCTAAACAACACATGGATCAAATTACAGGCAGACGCAAACAAAGAGAGGGCTGCTTTCATAAACATCAACTATGTAACCCATAAAGGACATGATCAGAATTAAGGCGAATTGATACAAGTTTACTATAAAATTGTGTTACTGAATGCTAAATTAATTAACTATACAAATTCAGTATAGTTTACATATCATACATTATACAAATATTAACCCAAATTTTACAGCAGGTTCATTTCAACTGGTCATGCAGGTAATAAATCCATAAATAATCAATTTGCAACCGCCATGAATTATATATGATGTCTTTAGGAGAAGCCAATTTTAAACATTTTAAACTGAGAAGTATTTAAAACCTACTGCAAAGTTCCCCCCGTCAGTCTTAAAACACAACATGAAACCTGAATTCAGAATGAGATATTTTTAGCCAAAGCATAAATGTGAAAAACAAGGATTAGGTGTACAATGAAGAGATATATAAAAAGCAGCAAAAAAATAAGTCGCATATGCAGTGTGTGGGCTGAAACTAGACACGTTTCCACCTTAATTGTAGGAAAAGCAACAGTTTGAGAGCAGAGGCAGAGCAGATCTGGGCACAGTTCCTGCCAGCCTAGGTGGGCACACAGGAGGCAGTGAATGGCTCACAGCCTGGTAGCCCAGTATGGGGGCTGGGTACCGAGTTACAGAGGTCTGACAGTAAATAGTGGCAGTGGGTGCACTTATTGTAGAACTCAGGAAAACAAAAACAAGGGTTAAAGAAGTGACCAGACAGAACAGGTAGTAAACACTCAGCGATGCTGGCCAGGGGGAGATAAAATCCCTTTATTATAACATTTAGAATATTAAGATGCCCAGAGTGAGCCACCGTGAGTCCCCCCGATTGGTAGTCCCCCATAAAGCTCCATTACCTGGTTCAGACAGTCCTCCCCGTTTGCCTTGGTATCAACCTCAACCTCCATGACCACCGCATCCGGCCTCGTCACATAGCAGAGCATGGCAGCGGTGCGGTGGGTGCTCTCCTCGGTGGGTGACTGTGACTTCCCTCCGCCCGGACCCCGCTATGTCAGTCTCGGCGAGCCTGGCCCCGCTCACTGTTTGCAGGGAGAGCAGGGCATACAGGAGCCAGCCAGCAGCCTCTGCACCGGGGAATGAGGAGCTCCGGACACACAGTCCCTGCCTGCAACATACATAATAAGCCCTTCCTCCCATGTGATGCACTCCCCCGCTCACTCATTGGCTCAATGACAGCTGTGCAACTGAAACCGAGCCTAACCGTGCCTCCCCCAGCCACCAGGACTGCCTTCCCAGCCAGCTAGCCACCAGGACTGCCTCCCCCAGCCACCAGGACTGCCTCCCCCAACCACCAGGACTGCCTCCCCCAACCACCAGGACTGCCTTCCCAGCCAGCTAGCCACCAGGACTGCTCCCCAGCCACCAGGACTGCCTCCCCCAGCCACCAGGACTGCCTTCCCAGCCAGCTAGCCACCAGGACTGCCTCCCCAGCCACCAGAACTGCCTCCCTAGACAGCTAGCCACCAGGACTGCCTCCCCCGGCCACCAGAACTGCCTCCCCAGCCAGCTAGCCACCAGGACTGTCTCCCCAGCCACCAGGACTGTCTCCCCCGACAGCTAGCCACCAGGACTGCCTCCCCCAGCCACCAGGACTGCCTCCCCAGCCAGCTAGCCACCAGAACTGCCTCCCCAGCCAGCTAGCCACCAGGACTGTCTCCCCAGCCACCAGGACTGTCTCCCCCGACAGCTAGCCACCAGGACTGCCTCCCCCAGCCACCAGGACTGCCTCCCCAGCCAGCTAGCCACCAGGACTGCCTCCTCCCAGCCACCAGAACTGCCTCCCCTAGACAGCTAGCCACCAGGACTACCTCCCAGCCACCAGAACTGCCTCCCCAGCCAGCTAGCCACCAGGACTGCCTCCCCAGCCACCTGTGACTGTCTCCCCCAGCCACCAGGACTGCCTCCAGACAGCTAGCCACCAGGACTGCCCCCAGCCACCAGGACTGCCCCCCCCCGCCAGCTAGCCACCAGGACTGCCTCCCCAGACAGCTAGCCACCAGGACTGCCTCCCCCAGTCACCAGGACTGCCTCCCTAGACAGCCAGCCACCCAGGGACTGCCTCCCCCAGCCACCAGGACTGCCTCCTCGGCCAGCTAGCCACCAGGACTGCCTCCCAGACAGCTAGCCACCAGGACTGCCTCCCAGACAGCTAGCCACAAGTGACTGCCTCCCCCACAGCTGCCAGCCACCAGGACTGCCTCCCTAGACAGCTAGCCACCAGGACTGCCTCCCCCAGCCACCAGGACTGCCTCCCCCGACAGCTAGCCACCAGGACTGCCTCCCCAGACAGCTAGCCACCACGACTGCCTCCCCCAGCCACCAGGACTGCCTCCCTAGACAGCTAGCCACCAGGACTGCCTCCCCCAGCCACCAGGACTGCCTCCCCCGACAGCTAGCCACCAGGACTGCCTCCCCAGACAGCTAGCCACCAGGACTGCTCCCAGACAGTTGGGCCACCAGGACCGCCTCCTCCCACAGCGCTAGCCACCAAGACTGCCTCCCCTAGACAGCTAGCCACCAGGACTGCCTCTGGGCAGGCCACCAGGACTGCCTCCCAGACAGCACACAAGGACTGCCCCGACACAGTTAAAGGCCACCAGGACTGCCCCCAGCCAGTTAGCCACCAGGACTGCCCCCAGCCAGCTAGCCACCAGGACTGCTCCCCCCAGCCAGCTAGCCACCAGGACTGCCTCCCAGACAAGCTAGGCCACCAGGACTGCCCCCCCAGCCACCAGGACTGCCCCCCCAGCCAGCTAGCCACCAGGACTGCCTCCCCAGACAGCTAGCCACCAGGACTGCCTCCCCCAGCCACCAGACTGCCTCCCCAGACAGCTAGCCACCAGGACTGCCTCCCCCAGCCAGCTAGCCACCAGGACTGCCTCCCTAGACAGCTAGCCACCAGGACTGCCTCCCCACATGGGCGTCCGCAGGGGGGGAAGGGGGGGCACTTGCCCCCCCCTGGATTTTTCAGCTTTTTCTGCTATTTTTCGTGAGAGATTTAAAATGAACTGCAATACCTGTGTATGGAGAGAGACAGAGATAGGAAGCTGCATCTTTTCCCTGCTTCTCTCTGCTGATTGAAACCGCAGGGGAGCAACACATGCAGCCAGCAAAGAGAGCCTACAGATCAGGTAAGTGAGGGATGGGGGGAGGGTTTGAGAGGGGGGGCAGCAGCCTATAGATTTGGGGGGGCAGCAGCAGATAGATTTGGGGGCAGCAGCCCATAGATATTGGGGGGCAGCCTGTAGATTTGAGGAGTAGCAGCAGCCCGTATAGATTTGGGGAGGGCGCTTCAACCCATAGATATTGGGGGGCAGCCTGTAGATTTGAGGGCAGCAGCAGCCCATAGATTTGGGGAGGGGGGCAGCAGCCTATAGATTTGAGGGCAGCAGCAGCGCATAGATTTATGGGCAGCAGCCCATAGATTTTGGGGGGGCAGCAGCCCATAGATTTTGGGGGGGCAGCAGCCCATAGATTTTGGGGGGCAGCAGCCTGTAGATTTGGGGGCAGCAGCAGCCCATAGATTTGGGGAGTGGGGCAGCAGCCTATAGATTTGAGGACAGCAACAGCCTTTAGATTTGGGGGCAGCAGCCCATAGATTTTGGGGGGGCAGCAGCCCATAGATTTTGGGGGGGCAGCAGCCCATAGATTTTGGGGGGGCAGCAGCCCATAGATTTTTTTGGGGGGCAGCAGCCTATAGATTTGGGGGGGCAGCAGCCTATAGATATATAGAAATGAACAGGGGGCAGCAGCCCATAGATTTGGGGGGGCAGCAGCCCATAGATTTGGGGAGGGGGGCAGCAGCCCATAGATTTGGGGAGGGGGGCAGCAGCCTATAGATTTGGGGGCAGCAGCCCATAGATTTGGGGGACGGGCAGCAGCCTTTAGATTTGGGGGCAGCAGCCTTTAGATTTGGGGGCAGCAGCCCATAGATTTGGGGGGGGCAGCAGCCCATAGATTTGGGGAGGGGGGCAGCAGCCCATAGATTTTGGGGGGGGGCAGCAGCCTATACATATATAGAAATGAACAGGAAGGGTCAGCAAGGAGCTGGAAGGTAAAGCAGCACAAAGGTAAAGTAGATGGAGCAGAAAGGGTCAGAAATGAGCTGGAAGGGGCAGAAGGAGCACAAACATAAAGTAGGAGAATGAGCAGGAAGGGCCTGCAAGGAGCAGGAAGGAGCACAAAGGGACAGCAAGGAGGAAAAAAGTAAAGGAGCAGAAAGAATCAGAAGGAGCACAAAGGTAAAGTAGGAGAAAGAGCAGAAAGGGACAGCAAGGAGCACAAAGGTAAAGTAGAAAAGGGAGCAGAAAGGGATCAGAATGAGAAAGGAGCAGAAGGGCGCAAAATAAGCAGAAAGTAGCAGAAAGGTAAAAGAGCAGAAGGGGCCAAGGATAGAAAACAGTGTCAGAATAAAAAAAAAGACTGTCAAATGAAGGAGAGGAAAAGGAGATTGGAGCAGGAAGGACAAATGAAGTGAACCCTCCACTTTATTCTGGACACCACATCATAAGGCTTTGGTACCTGGGCCTGGCAGGGAAACGCTGGACCTTCTCATCTCCAAAGGTAAAAAAATATCGGTGTTAATGTGTTCACTTTTATTTACGGAGTGTCAGGAAGCACAGAGTGCCGTTGGGTAGGGGTGTTGCTGTTTGGCTAGAGCGGTCAGCTGGCACTCTAAGCCAATCAGTAGCTCCCCATTCATAAAAAAGTAAAAATATTTTAAGAACCGGGAACTAGCGATTGGCTTAGAGCGTCAACTGACAACTCTAGCCAATCAGCGGCACCCATGCCTGACGTCAATCTGCACTTCCTGACACTCTGTTTCAGAAGCCAAATACCACTGAGCGACCTGGAGCTGGAGGAAGCCTTTGGGGTTAAACCATTTGAGAGCGATTTAACCCCTTAAAGGAAAGCGAGCACCCAGGGGCTTCCTGGAATCATAGCATTTTCATTTAGGTGAAGTTGTTATGGTGACCAGAAATGTCCTTTAATTTGCTTAAGGGAACACTATAGTGTCAGGAATACAAACATATATTCCTAAAACCATAGTTGTGAAAACGCTATTCACCCTGGCTTTATGTGATAATGGCTATGCCCCTTCCCTTCCAGGACACTGTCAAAAAGGTACCAAGCATGGATGTCATTACAATTATGCCCCCCCCCTGGAAAAATTCCTGCGGACGCCCATGCCTCCCCAGCCACCAAGACTGCCTCCCCAGACAGCTAGCCACCAGGACTGCCTCCCCAGACAGCTAACCACCAGGACTGCCTCCCCAGCCACCAGGACTGCCTCCCCAGACAGCTAGCCACCAGGACTGCCTCCCCAGACAGCTAGCCACCAGGACTGCCTCCCCAGCCACCAGGACTGCCTCCCCAGACAGCTAGCCACCAGGACTACCTCTCGAGCTAGCCACTAGGACTACAACCCTCCAGACAGACACCACCTGAATTGCCTCCCCAGAGCCTACCCAGACAGACACAAGGACTGCTTCCCCAGACTGTTGCTAGGACTCAGGGGTGTATCTAGAGCATTTGGCACCCGGGGCGGAACTTTAAAATGTAATATATACCCACCATTTGTTTTAATGTTGTCAAGAATATTTTTTGCACAAATTTGTTGTAACGGATCCCCTATACTCCGGCTGAGTACATCCGTTAGTAGTCTCCTGAATCCCAAGGGCTGCAGTGATTATAGCTCTCCTGTTTCCAGCAGAGTAGTGATCCAAACCCCCAAACATGTGCCTAGACTTCATGAAGGGGTAAAACGAATGTGTTAAAGGGACACTATAGTCACCTGAAAAACTTTAGCTTAACCCCTTAAGGACACATGACATGTGTGACATGTCATAATTCCCTTTTATTCCAGACGTTTGGTCCTTAAGGGGTTAATGAAGCAGTTTTTGTGTATAGAACATGCCCTTTGTTTATGAACCCTAGTCACACCTCCCTGCATGTGACAGCCTTCCATGAACACTTCCTGTAAAGAGAGCCCTATTTAGGCTTTCTTTATTGCAAGTTCTGTTTAATTAAGATTTTCTTATCCCCTGTTATGTTAATAACTTGCTAGACCCTGCAAGAGCCTCCTGTATGTGATTAAAGTTCAATTTAGAGATTGAGATACAATTATTTAAGGTAAATTACATCTGTTTGAAAGTGAAACCAGTTTTTTTCATGCAGGCTCTGTCAATCATAGCCAGGGGAGGTGTGGCTAGGGCTGCATAAACAGAAACAAAGTGATTTAACTCCTAAATGACAGTGAATTGAGCAGTGAAATTGCAGGGGAATGATCTATACACTAAAACTGCTTTATTTAGCTAAAGTAATTTAGGTGACTATAGTGTTCCTTTAAATCCAGGCTCAATGGCCTGATTTTATACAATACACAGATACAGTAAACACACCCCTGACACTCACACAACCAGGATAATCCCTCTTCTGGACCTGAGAGGGGACTAGTTACAAGTTACAAACTCCTCCTCTGTGCCTGAGAGATAATTGAGTCAGGAACTGAACTAACTCAATTATTTCCAGGCATAGAAAAAACATACAATATTACAAAACCCCACAAATACCTGTAAATCACATAAAAAAACCCACAAACGTTACATCCCCTGATAGCCCCGATCTGGGTGACCAACATATCCAAAAATCAACCAGATCGGTTCAGGTGTTTGAGATTTCCATGGAAGTCATAATTTTGACCGACCATGCACATGGTCCTATGCCCAAAACAGTTCCAGGGAATCAGGGCTAACGGTCAGTCTCTCTTTCTCGAGTACAAAAGTACATAAATCACATGAATGGAGCCTTTTAAAGTGCATTGGGTAAGGTATTTTGCAGGGCCCATAGTCCTGAGGCAGGAGGCTGGCAAGCAGGCTCCTCCAGAAGCTCGTGGCAAATGATCAGACCACAGGGCGTTTGTCACATTTGTAAACGGTATGTTAGAAACCGTGTCCTCAAGGCCCCATTAGAGACTACAATGGAGTCTAATGGGCCCTGGAGACGGTTCTCTCTAACACTCTGACCCCAAATTTACATATCCAGCCCAAGTTGGCTCTTCTCACCTTAATGTTGCTGGGAAGCTGCTGCAGCTGGCAGGCTCGCTGCTGTGGCTGGTGTGTTGCTGTGGCTGGCTGCTGTTGACGGCTGGTTGGCTGGCCGGCAGCGGCTGGCAGGCCTCTTTTTTCCCCCAGCAGGTGCCTGTTTCTACCCAAACCCCTCTGTATGTCTCTCCCCCTCCAGCCTTTCTGTGTGTCTGTCTGCCTCTTTGTGTTTCTCTTTCTTTCCCCAGCCACTTTGAGCACCTGTTTCTCCTCCAGCCCCTTTGAGCGTCTGTTTCTCCCCAACCTCTTTTTGTGTCTCTTTTTTTCCATTTCAAAGCCCCTCTGTGTATCTTTTTGTACCCTCTTCTGGGCCTCAGTTCTCCACAGCCAGCCACCAGGACTGCCTCCCCAGAGCGCTACCAGGATTAGTTTCCCAGCCAGTCCCCAGGATTGCCTTCCAACAGGATTGTCAATCTCCCGAACCAGCAGCCAGGCCCCCCCAACAGGACTGTCAATCTACCGATCCAGCCGCCAGGCCGTCATCCTTAGGGGAAAATAAGATGAATAGTTCTATATCCATCCTATGTGTCACATGAGTTAGAAAGAAACACGCACCGAACAAAAAAATTGATTAATTTTACAACAGGAGGCTTTATATTTTGCTTAAGTCTCTCTTTACTAAAACCCCACAGCAGCATTCAAGAAATACAATCAATCAGAAAACAGAGAAGTCAAAAGTCCCATACTCCTCTAGTACGCAGGGCCGGTGCAAGGAGTTTTGCCGCCTTAGGCAAAACATTTTTTGCCATCCCCCTAAATGTCCTGACCACCATGTGACATCGCAATGCCCCGCCCATATGCTCTGCCATATGGGCCAACGCCAGTCTGCACAAAGTGTCTTTATCTGAAAAGACAGTGTGTTTACATTACAGGGTATAGATACGAGAACCACTACATTAAGCTGTAGTGCTTCTGGTGACTATAGTATCCATTTAATGTGAGGTAAATTAGAGATTAGTGCCACTAATAATATATATGATTGCCTACTTACCACCAGATGAGGACAAGAGGCTGATGATGGGCTCAGTCTGGCTCCACAGGTTTGGTGTAGAAGAGGCTCTCTGGAGACTGTTTGTAACAGTGCTCACAACAATTAACAAACAGGAAGCAGCTACATTTTTTGGGGCCCCTTACACAGCTCAAGGTCTGGGCCCCCCAGGGCTTGACCGTGAGTATGCCTACAATGCTCACCCATAAATCCACCTACATGGCCCACCCATGATTTCTCTCACAAGGAGTGGAGTGTATGTGTGTAGGGGATGTTTTATGTCTTATTGTAGAGGATGTAATGTGTGTAAGGGATGCAAGGTGTGTTTCTGTGTATGTAATTAAATGCAGTGTGTGTCTGTAAGGGGTGCATTGAGTGTGTAAGAGATGCATTTTGTTTCTGTGTGTAAGAGAATGAGTGTTTGTGTGAGCGTAAGGGATGCATTGTGTGTTTCGAGTGTGTCTGTGCGTGAGTAGGGATGCATTGTATGTTTCTGTGTGTGTGTGTGTGGGGGGGAAACATTGTGTATGTGTGTAGTGTAAAAGAGAGGGTTTGTGGGGTAGGATAGGGACTGAGAGGGGCGCAGCTCTTTATTTTTGTTAAAAAATTCATAATGCTCTCCCCTCCTGTCAATTAGTGATTTTCCCTTCCCTCCTGTCCCTCAGTGTTCTCCTCTTCTGTCCCTTAAAGGACCACTATAGTGCCAGGAAAACATACTCGTTTTCCTGGCACTATAGTGCCCTGAGGGTGCCCCCACCCTCAGGGACCCCCTCCTGTCTGGCTCTGGAAGGGGGAAAGGGGTAAAAACTTACCTTTTTCCAGCGCTGGGCGGGGAGCTCTCTGCCTCCGATCCTCCTCCTCTCCTCCCCGTCGACTGAATGCACACGCGTGGCAAGAGCTGCGCGCGCCTTCAGCCGGTCGCATAGGAAAGCATTATCAATGCTTTCCTATGGACACTTGCGTGCTCTCACTGTGATTTTCACAGTGAGAATCACGCAAGCGCCTCTAGCGGCTGTCAATGAGACAGCCACTAGAGGATTTGGGGGAAGGCTTAACCCATTGATAAACATAGCAGTTTCTCTGTAAGGCGACGTAGGCAGCTGCCTAGGGCACACCTTTCCAGGGGGCGCCGGAGCCCTGCGCCTGGAATTACCAGTGCGGCTCCTCATGCTGCACCGCCTGAGCCATTTTGCAAGCCTTTAGGCGGCGCAGCACTGCTGTATGGAGGGCGCTCCCTTCTGCCGGTCTCTCAATGTAGCGTGGCCGGGCGGTGCGGAACGCGGGACAGGAACCTCTGTTTCCTGTACCCGGCCGCCGACGGACTGACAGGAAGTGCTCACTGAGTTAGCGCTTCCCTTCAGTCCGCCGGTGGCCGGGTACAGGAAACAGAAGTTCATGTCCCGCGTTCCGCACCGCCCGGCCACGCTACATTGAGAGACCGGCAGAAGGGAGCGCCCTCCATACAGCAGTGCTGCGCCGCCTAAAGGCTTGCAAAATGGCTCAGGCGGTGCAGCATGAGGAGCCGCACTGGTAATTCCAGGCGCAGGGCTCCGGCGCCCCCTGGAAAGGTGTGCCCTAGGCAGCTGCCTACGTCGCCTTACAGGTATGGCCGGCCCTGCTAGTACGTTTTCTATGCAGCTCCTCACCAGCACAGGTCAGAGTACCACTGGTTCCTGTATTTCTTGTGAGTTACTCAAGTTTTACTGCTTTTATTATGCATTTACTGTTATTATTAGATTCTTATTTCCTATTATTGTTTACAGGGCCGATCCTGGGCGGGTGCAAGGGGTGTACAGCGCTCAGGCGCTCTGTAACTACAGTTGTTAGGCTTCTCCCCTCGGGTTACGCTCTGCCCTGCGATTATCTCCACCTCTGAATTAGGGTCTGCTTTGCTCACTCGGCACCTGGGATTACTAAGAAACAGGATCCACCCCCTCCCTGGCCCAAGGTAAGCTTCAGGGAGGAATGAATTGCAGCCCCTAGCAATACTAGAGCCCCTTAACCCCGTATTACAAGCCCTAAACTCCCTACTACAGCCCCTTAACCCCCTACTTCAGCCCTTACCCCGCAAGTACAGCCCCTAAACTCCCTACTTCAGCCCCTTACCACTACAGCCACCAACCCCACTACTACAGCCCTAAAATCCCTACTTCAGTCACACCCCCCACTACTACAGCCCCTAAACTCCCAACTTCAGCCCCTTACCACTACAGTACCTAGCCACTATAGCCCATAACTCTCCTACTACAGCCCATAACCACTACAGTCCCTAAACCCACTACTACAGCCCCTTTCTCTCTAAAACAGCCTCAACCCCCAATAGCTGCCCCTACACCCAACTACAGCTCATAACCTCCCATTGGCTGCCCGTATACCCTACAACAGCCCATAACCCCCAATTGCTGCCTATATACCCTTCTACAGCCCCTTACCCCCAATTGCTGCCCCATACCGTGCTACAAACCCTAACCCCCAATTAATGCCCCTATACTCTGCTACAGACCCTAACCCCCAATCGCTGCCCTCACCCCCTGCTACAGATCTTAACCCCCCCATTGCTGCACCTTTACCCTACTACAGCACTAACCTCTAATTGCTGACTCTATACGCTACTACAGCCTTTAATCCCCCCAATTGCTGCAACCGTACCCTACTACAGACCCTAACCACCAAATTGCTGCCCCTTTAACTTACTACAACCCCTAACCCCTCAATTACTGACCCTATACCCTACTACAGCCCCTAATCCCCCCAACTGCTGCCCTTGTACCCTTCTACAGACCCTAATCCGCAAATTGCTGCCCCTATATCCTAATACAGCCTCTAACCCCCAGTTGCTGCCCTTATACCCTGCTACAGACCCTAACCTCCAGTTGCTGCCCCTATACTCTACTACTGCCCATAACCCTGGTGTGACAAAAGTAACCTTGTCACTGGCTTTTGGAGGGGCCTGTTTGTCAGCCTATGTGACTATGGCCCTGTGGTGAACTTTGGGCTAAAAACACGGTTCGTGCCTTTTTTCCCTGCTATGGTGCAGTATATGGGGCTTACCGAATGTATTAAGCTTGTGGTGTTCGTTTACCGAACAAACTGTCGAACAGCCGGACCACCCGCAAGTGGAATGTGCAGCCTGTTAACCCCCCAGAAGCTGTGGTTAACCGCAGCTTAATTGACGAATGGCTGGGTGGTCGCCGTTCGTATAGTCGAACACGTGGCAGCGGCCAGCTTGTTTAATTGAACGCGGTCAGCAGTGTTTTGCCGTCGAGTTCATGGAACTGAAATTGGACACTCGACGGCATGAACACCACTGGGACTTCCACCTCCATCTATGTTCGGCTAAATATGCACGAACAGAGCGCCGTTCGGTAGAAATAAGCTACCAAACCAGATACACTCACTGACTCTGTGGACGAACAGCTTCGTTCGACTATTGGAATTCTACTTTGACACTTTGGAATAGACCGGCCGCACAGCCTAATTCCCTGGAACTATTTTGCATGAAGCCATGCTTGCGGCCGGTCAAAAAGAGACTTCCATGAAACTTTTGAACCCCCTGCTCTGATCTGGGTAATTTTTCGATATGTTGTTCACCCAGATCAGGCTATTTTGGGGTTATGTTTTGGTGTTTTTCTGCCTGGAGATAATTGAGTTACTTACAGAACTTTACTAAATTATCTCCCAAGCAGAGGGGAGGGATTGTATGCTGTACATGGGAGTGTCACAGACTGAATGTTTATTCTGATTGGTTTGTGTCCTTTGTGTTCCTGTACCCCATCAGGTCCAGAAGGTGTTCCTCTGGCTTGAAGAATTGTATAAAAACCAACCTGAACCATTTAAGCTCAAATCATCTTGCACCTTCATGAAGTCTTGGCTCATGTTTGGGGGATTGGAGAACTACACTCTGGGGATTGCTATAATCACTATACTCCCCTGAGTATAATCACTAAGCTCTTGTAAAAGCTGTTCCTGCTACGACTAAGAGAGGCCTACCCACTGGAAGCTGGATCTTGGTCTTGGGTCCAGAGTGGGTGGAGGACGGCGAGACACCAACCAAGCTGTGGTGGTTCGTGGGGTTTATGGTGATTATGGTGTTCTAGTGCAGTGGTTATGTACTAGGAAGCAGCGATTGACGGAGGTACCCAGTCGGGTGCCAGGCGGGCCCTCACACCAGGGCTCGACATATAACAGGCACCAGGTCGCCATGGCAATCTGGAATTTTGTCCTGGTACATGGGATTCATCCACCTGTTCAGTGCAGTCAGGGAAGAGCGGGTGAAAGAAAGCTGTCATGTTCTGGCTCTGCTCCCTCGAGTGCCCTGCAATGATGCCAGGAGCCAGAATCTGACATAATTCTGGCCCTGGGATTAAACAATGCATGAGAGGGAGCAGAGCAGGTACATGACAGCAACCCCACTGGACCCCAGGGAAAGCTACTTAAGGTAGGGAGGCTGGGTGGATTTCAATAATTATTTTTTTTTTAATTATCATTTCTAAATGTGTGAGAGTGTGTGTGTGTCCGTCAGGATGTCTAATTGTATGTCTGTCAGTATGTGTGTGTCTGTTTAAGTGACCAGCCCCCCTCTGATTGGATGGGAAAAGTGATTTTACTCACCTTTTTTCCCACGCCGTTCTGGTCTCGCCATGGCTGTCTCGCCTTCATGGCTGACATAATCAATTTTGATGAACTCAACCAAGCCAATGCTTTACCATGCACTTATCAGCATCTCCTCATAGAGAATCAATGCATCTTTATGGGCAACATTCATTAAGCTGAAGTGGTCTGGGTGCCTATAGTGGTCTTTTAAAGGCTGTTATATCTTATATTTTGTCTGCAATGAACTTATGGTTATTGGTCTCTGTATGCCTAACCTGTGGTCTCGTCGTGTTACACCAGCCATTTGGGAGTGTAAATGGCTGCCATACCCAGTATGTCCACTAACTCTAATTGCATAAGTAATTGTGACATTCAGAGAACAACATCTGTCATAAAAGGGTTAATTGCAAACCAGTCAGAACATTGTGATAATGAAGGGTAATATGTAGATCACTATTATTGTACATCCCTACAGAGCTATACATTTTTCAGTACATACTGCACTTGCCTTACTGTTATGTACTCCCTGAAAGCAGTTTTGGGTGTTACTGCTGAACTGACAGTGTATGTTACAGGATTTCTAGAAATCTCACACCCTAAAGGGTGTTTCATAGAGGATTTGCTAATAGGATTCAGAATAATTATTTGTCTTATAGCTCATAACTTATCACGTCCTTTGAAGTCATTACTAATAATTAGCTGACTAAGAGCAGGTAGGTGTTTATCATAACCTAGGATGTTTTCTACAGTACCAAGAATAGCTTTTAAAAATTGTATTTACATATTATCTAATAATATCTTAACTATTTATAGATATGAAACATAGAGATTGTAATATATATATAAAACATTAATCTTTTGTGCTATATGACAAGGGTTCAACCTAAAATATTTGTACACAAATACCCATGTGCACAAGTATTATATATATATATATACACTATATGAACAAAAGTATTGGGACACCTGACCATTACACCAACAGGGACGTTTATGACATAACATTATAAATACAGCTGTGCTCAAAAGTTTGCATACCCTTGGAGAATTGGTAATATATGTACAAAACATGAGTGAGCAGGCAAAACATATTTCTTTTATTTCTCATGGGATTCATTTTCAACTGTAGGTTATAACAGAATGGCACAATCACAAGACAAAACATGGCAACAGAGAAAAAAAAATGAAATGACCCCTTTTCAAACGTCTGCATACCCTTAGTTCTTAATGCTGTGTATTGCCCCTTTTAGCATCAATGACAGTGTGCAGTCTTTTGTAATAGTTGTCTATGAGGCCCCCCAATTTGTACAGGTGGTCAGATGGTATAACTGCCCATTAGTCTTGGTAAAATGCCTCCAGGTCTCCTTTCATGAACCGCACGTTTGAGATCTCCCCAGAGTGAGTCGATGATATTAAGGTCAGGAGACTGTGATGATCACTTCCGAACCTTCACCTTTTTTGCTGTAACCACTGGAGAGTCATCTTGGCCTTGTGCTTAGGGTCATTGTCATGCTGCATTATTCTTTCCATCAATTTCCCCATGCCTTTAGAGCCCACACCCCCCCCCCAAAACATCAGTGAGCCACCACCATGCTTCATAGTGGGGATGGTATTCTTTTCCATATAGGCCTTGGTGACCCCTCTCCAAACATAGCGCTTATGGCTGTGACCTATTTTGGTCTTGTCACTCCAAATTACAGTGTGCCAGAGACTGTGAGGTGTGTCAAGGCATCGTCGGGCATACTGTAACCGGCTTCTTTCTGGCAACTCAACCATGCAGCTCATTTTTGTTCAACTATCATCGTATTGTGCTCCTTGAAACAACCACATCGTCTTTTTCCAGAGCAGCCTGTATATCTCCTGAGGTTACCTGTGGGTTTTTCTTTGTATCCCAAACAATTTTTCTGGCAGTTGTGGCTGAAATTGTTCTTGGTCTTCCAGACCTTGGCTTGGTATCAAGAGATCCACACATTTTTCACTTCTTAATAAGTGATTGAACAGTACTGACTGGTTTTGTCAAGGCTTTGAATATCTTTTTATGTCCTTTTCCATCTTTATAAAGTTCCATTACCTGGTGACGTAGGTCTTTTGACAGTTCTTTTCTGCCACCCATGGCCCAGTATCAAGCCTTCTCAGTGCATCCACTTGAGAGCTAACAAACGCATAGACTATTTATACACAGATACTAATTGGAATTTAAAAAGCCACAGGTTTGGGAAATGAACCTTTAATTGCCATTTTAACCTGTGTGTGTCACCTTGTGTTTCTGTAACAAGACCAAACACTCAAGAGTATGTAAACTTTTGATCGGGGCCATTAGGGTGATTTTTGCTATCATTATGATTTGAAAAGGAGCCAAACAACTATGTGATAATAAATGGCTTCATATGATCAATATCCTTCAAAAAAATTTAATTTTTGCATCATCAGTTATATTTAAAAAAAAAATTCACAATTTCTGCCAGGGTATGCAAACTTTTGAGGACAACTGTATATGTAGTTGGCTCCCCTTTTAAGGCTATACCAGCTTCCACTCATCAGAGAAGGCTGTCCATTAGAATTTGTAGTATTTCTGTAGGTATTATTGCCTATTCATCCAGTAGAGCATTTGTGAGGTCAGGCACTGATGTTGGATGATGAGGCCTGACTCACAATCTCCTTTCCAAATTATCCCAAAGGTGGTCGATGGGGTTGAGGTCACAGTTCTGAGTGGGCCATTCAAGTTCTTCTACACCAAACTTAATTAACAATACCTCCATAGACCTTGCTTTGTGCACTGGAGTACAGTCATGCTGGAACAGAAAATGACCAATCCTAAACTGTTCCCACATAGTTGGAAGCATAGCATTGTCCAAAATGTCTTGGTATACTGAAGCATTAAGATTTACGTTCACAGGGACTAAGGGACCTATACCATTATCCCTCCTCCACCAAACTTTACAGTTGGCACAGTGCAGTCATGCAGGTAACATTGTCACTCCACATAACACATTTTCACTGCTCCACAGTCCAGTGTTGAAGGTTTGTGGGGGAAAATATAAAGAAATGGACAAAGAGTTTTGAAGTAGGGTATATGGAGAATGGGACAAAAAAGGGGGTGGGAGTATGGAAAGAGACAGTTGGGGAGGGCTATAGGGAGAGAAGATGAGGGAGAATATGGCAAAAGCTGGAGGTGTGGGAGCATTAAAAGGAAGAGAGAGGCAGAAGGTAGGGGGAGAATATAGTTAACTAATAATAACTAATAGTTACACATTAAATATCCCATTAAAAGCGCCACAACAATAAAATGAATACAGGGTTATTCACTGAACTCGGAATTGTAGCACATTGAAATCAGAAATGCAAACTTAGGGGCCTGGGCTTGACCGTCATGCTGAGAGGACGCAGCAGACATGAGTTCCAATTCTAAACTGTAATATATGAGTTTCAGGGGACACTACTACCCCATTAAGCAACAAATTACTAGAGCTACCTGCATCTGATACCTCTCAGGTGATATCTGGGCCTAAAATCTGTGGCAGTGATGCATCTGCGACCTCCGATTGATTGCTGCCTAATGCACTGACCCGTCGGGGGAAGCAGCTGATCTCTTTGTCTGGGACTGCACAGGCCCTCATGTTGTTCCCACGTGGCCTGCTTAAGTTGGCCAACGGCAGCACTGCCACGATGCAAAGGCTTCAATGCAAAGCTGGGAAGAGGGCTCTCATGTCGGTGGCTTTGGTGGAGCCTACAGTGGAAGCAACTCACACGGCCTGCCCCGACACTACAACCTGTCCGTAGAGCTGCAACTCGGAAACTCCATTACCTACAGGGTCATCAGCTGTCTCATCAGGCTGCACGCGGCCCACGTACCAATGAAGACCAATGCACCCAGAGTTCTCGAGATTACTGCCTGGTAGCCGGGAGAGGAGCATGTGGCTACAAGAGCTAGAGAGCAGAGGTGAGACAGAGTGTCCAGGGAGGCTTATATCAACATACACACTGTCTAAGGGCATTGGTTGAATGAAATGTAGCTCTAAGAAAGAATACCTAATCTAGCAGTGTCTCAGTGAAATAGTCTTCTACTCACTTATTCCTTGTTTTTCCTTCTTCCTACTTATGGGTGAACCTTGGCCTACACTATCTATCTCAGCTCAACCTTCAAAGCCAGTTACACAGCTCTTGGTGGTCTTACTCTAACATTTCTCTCTTGTGTAGCCAGATGAGTAACTCTCGTGTTACTTTATTCTGACTCACACTGTTTGCCTTTGCATGTTACACATTAGAAAATGCAGTATTTCCAGACATTTTATGATACCTTTGAAAACAAATTGTGTGTATTAAAATGTCATTGTCAGCTTGTTTGTCAAACTATGCACTACTAAAATAATTGTAAAAAAAAAAAGAGAAATGCAAAATTAAAGCTAAAAAAAATCCAAGCTGTGACTGTTCTGGATTTAGAAATTACTTCAAATCAGGTAGTAAAAGGTGGAGTTAAAGGGATCCTATAGTGCCAGGAAAACAAACTAGTTTTCCTGGTACTGTAGGCTCTTGGAATGCCCCCCTCCCTCAGGGCCCCCCTCCCTTGGTGCTAAAGGGGTTAAAACCACTTCAGCCACTTACCTTAATCCATCGCCGGGCTACCTTGGTGCTGGTGACCTCTCCTTACCCTGTGACGTCAGCTCCCGAGTGGAGCCGAATGCGCATGCGTGACCAGAGGCGCACGCACATTAAAACACGCCCATAGGAAAGCATTACTCAATTCTTTCCTATGGGGATCTTATTTGACGCTGGACTCCGTGAGGTCTTGATAAAAGTCCGGTTGGACTGAAACGTTGACACTATCAATGTGATGATTTGTTGCTGAAATAAATAGCACTATTTAAAATATATCGAATTTTGTGAGTGCTCTCCTTCAAGGTATTTTATACGAAGGCCGGAGAATAGGCACCAAGGCAATA